GCATTCCTTTCCTCTCTGTCTCTGGTGCACTGGTTTGCACTTTCTTATTTTGTTCTCCTCTGCTTGGGTTTCCAGTCTTCCTCAGCCCTGAATATTATTTTTCAGCCTTCTCAATTGGCTATCTTATTAATGTGTCATTCACTCTCTCTCCCAGATGATTAATAAAGAAATTATATAAGGCTTGTATGGTACTCCTGATCCCTCTAGTATTCTTCCAGAGGGCTTTCAACTACACACTTTGATGTTTGGCCAGTGGTTAGTTTGGTTTTTCTGTTTAGTGGTTTGTTTTGTTGATTTTTTTTTTTTTAACTTAGCCTTCCATCTAGGCTGGCTTAAATGGGCTTTAAAGCAAAATTTTGTGGAACACAGTGTCAGATGGTTTAGTAAGATACCAAATTACATTTATGCCAAGTATGTGGAAGAATTTGTCATTTATAATAGTGCAAAGAAGTGTACAGTTTATCAGCTGCCAACTCAGTATATTGTTTGCTTTAGGTTGTCCTTTAGAAAACCCTCACATCATTTTACAGCAGCAAGCTCAAATCTGTGGTTCAGACTGTATGAACTATATGGTTTCAAATATTGGCACAGCGTGGTGTGTACTGCAAATTGACTTGGGTGATGACATTTGCATTGAGAAACCTCAGGAAATTTGGTTGTCTTTCATGCAGATAAAAATGAGCCAGTTTTGGGAGTTTGGTTTTTTCGGTGCTTTCTGAATTCTTTTATGGTAGAGAAGTATAACTTTGTAGTTTGCAGATGAGTTACACAGGAATGGAAACCCAACGGTGATGTTCTTGCATGTATTGCACAACCTGAGCTACGCTAGCCAGAACTCCCCCATGAAAACTCTGCTGTGGATTTTATTTGAACGAAGGTTTGATGCGATGGCCATTTGGTGACATTCTGTCTCCTGTGATGTGGCACAGCTGACATGCAGCAGCCAGCCCTGCTTGTGTTACCCTGTGTTATGAGACAGAGTGACATTTCCCATGGGCTGAGTCCTGGACTTATTGGTGGAGACAGAAGAGCAGCAATAGGTGTAGAGCATCTTTCACTTCTCGAACAGTGTCTCCGATGTGGCTGGGCATGAGGGACCATCCTCTGGCTTGTGGAGATCTGTGGTCTTGCTTGGGTCTGAAGGAAGGTTCTTGGTCTCCAGAAGTCCTTTGCGGATGATAGCTGGGTAAAGAAACTGGAAGGGGTGGTTGACTGTGAAGAGTGAAATCATGGAGGAAGTGCTACAATCTTCCAGTGGTTTCTCTGGCCTCCTCCCCCTGTGCAAGAGGGGCACAGGGTAAGAAACCTGGCTCTCTGAGCCATCCGTTCCTCCACAGACTTGGTGTAACTGGGTGATACAATGGGGTAAGGTTGATGGCAGCTGGGACAGATGCCTGCCACATCCAGCTCAGCTGGTTTTAGAGTGGGGATGTGACAAATCCAAGGTTGAACTTTGCTATTTTTACTTTTACAGAGGAGGTCATGCTGGCAGAGGAAGACAAGAACGCAGAAGAGAAATCTCCTCTGGACGGTAGGTCGTTTTGCTGTGCAGTTTTCCTCCTGTGATATGTGAGAAGTTCACCTGCTGTACGCTGACGTGGCTTTCCATTGTAACCAGGAGGGTGTGAGGAACACGCTCTTGCATGCACTTGGCATAAGTTGGGCTAAAGAGTCCCTTTTCCCGTATCGAGTCTTTTTGAGGTTGCAGGTGGATGATGAGCAGTTATGTGACACACCACTCTGGGATGGGGATCTGCCCTTGGGGTCGGGCGGTCCCTACGCTGCCTGTGGGACCGCAGCGTGATGGGGACGCCCGTCAGCCTCTGCCGAGCATGGCAGGCTGTGTCTACGCACAGGTTCTGGCGGGGGTAGGCTGCAGAGCGGATGCCAGAAGAGAAATGCATTGACCGAGAGAAGGCAGGGCTCTAAATGGAGGTTTCCAAATGGATTTGACAAAGAGACTAAGACCCCTGTTACTTGTAAGCAGTAAGACATAACAGGGTGTGGTGATCCTATCTTCCGACGTATGACCCTAGAGTTGCAGGACGGCTGGAGGTACCGAGCTTCGGATGCAGATGCAGCGAGGCTACGGGGACCGCTCTCCCTGTGCCTCCAGACCGATGAGCTCTTAGGATACGACAGCCAGTCAAAGTTCAGTTAAAGATTCTTCCCTCTCCCTTTTCTGACCATCTTTCGTCCTCCCATGTCTCCTCCTTTCCCCTCCCCTCCCTTTCCCTCCTCTTTTTTTTTCTCCTCCCATTCACTGTCAGGGAGGGCCGCCTCGGAAGGGCCGATTCAACAAGGCACGGCACCGGCAGAGACTAGCAGCGGCAGCAGCTACAACAGTGAGTGGATTGCAAATCACCAGGGGCTTAGGCGGCACAGTTGGGGCAGTGCTTCATCCCCGTAGCCCCTCGTGCCCAGGTCACCGGCGATGTTTCCTGGGTGGTTTTGCACCTTGCTCTGAGCCGCATGGCTCCTTGGGGCATCAGGCACCCGGCCCCTGGTCTACCTTGACCTGCCTGGTGACCTGTGCTCGGGGAGGACTCGGGGATGGAGGAGCTGGGTCTGCAGAAGGTCAGGGCTGAGGTGTGTTTGGCAAATCTTTGTGCGTGTGTGTGGGTGCGTGGGTGTGCGTGCACTGGGGAAGTTTGTCTGGCAGGTGGGTGCAGCCAGGGCTGTTAGTCTTGAGGTGAAATGAGTGTCTGGAAGAGTAGACTGAAAAGCTGAGTGGTGTAAGCAAACTAGAGGTGGGTAAGAGCCATGGAGTAAAGACCCAGGTACACTAAGGCTCCCTCTATATTAGTCAGCTAAGGGAGCCTGGTAATGTTCCCAACCTTGAAGCCAGCTGGTATGGAGCAGCTCACATCTATGCTAGTAAATTATCTTAGTCTCCAAAACAGAGGGACATTGCATCCAAGGTGGCACGATGTAATTTCAGGAGTTATTTTGGGGGAGAAGATAAAGAAGAAGGTGCTCAATTCATGCTAGGGAGTGTTGTAAAACTTTACTCCCAGGGCTGGTTATGTTCCAGTGCTGGGGATGGCCCTGGACATGCTGGAGTGTACTGGGACAGATGCAGCCTGAAGGACCCAAAAGCTGGTATTGCTGGGACTGAAGATTCAGCCTACTGCTGGATGGGGAAGAAAAGAGCAAAAGCAGTTATCTGCAAAAAATTGGATCCAGATCACAGGTTCAGAGCATCCTCTCCTCTTTGAGCCTCTCCGAACCTGGGTGATGTTCTGGATGTTTCCTTGAAGTGACAAAAGCACTAACGCTTGCCTTCGCTGCGGAGGAAGAAGCACATCCATTGCTCTGTCAAGGCAAGGAAATTTGTGTAGAGTGAGGGGATCTTCTCGTAGGACCCTACCCCCAGGGCAGTCGCAGCAGAGTGAGTGGGTTTGCTGTGTGTGCCTACTGAACAGTATGTATCACCACACCGTGGGGTGTCTTACTGCTGATAGAAAACGGTGCTTAGTTACTGTATGTCTTGAAGCTGTTACAAAACTGTATCAACGTATTTTTTTCTACTGGTTCTCAAGGTTTTGCAGGTAGGTGGTCATGGGACCAGCATCCACGTTGTTCCTGTGTTACCCCTTGTGCACTGGGTGGACAGTGCAGAACTCTCCGAGCTTTTTTCCCTGTCAAATAAAATGGTGTAGCGGTCTTTGCCCTCCCCACCAAAGATGTTGTTGGACAAAGTGTGTTTTTAAAGAGTTGCGACATCCCCAGAGGGAAGGAATTGCACACTGGGTGCTATTAAGAATATGTTCACCGATTTGTGGCAGTTGCTTTCGACGTAGTGTTTCTGCTCCTTAAGGCATTGCTCTGTGGTAAACGGTATCCGAGCACCGTAAATGCTAACTTCTTAATGGTGCACCCTGTAAACAGCACTAATGTTTTTAATGGATAGAACCACTCATCTCATAACCCACTGGGGCTCAGAAAGGTTCAGTGACCCTGCCCAGCCTTTCTGCTGTGCTAAAAGGTCCCGCAGCGGCAGTGACTCCCCCACCCTCCTGCATCTGCTGGGGTGAAGTGTAAGCATGCAGACCTGTGCCTGGCAAACCTTCAAGATGTGGAAGGTCAAATAAATAAATGATCCTGGCATCAAAGGATGCAGAGGCCCTGCAAGGCTGTAGGTTGTCTGATTTGCTCCATTTTACCCTTGTATGAAAGCTTTAAGCTGGCATTGGAAAGTAAATGCTGGCCCTGGAGAGTGAAGGGAGGGGGAGAGGGAATCCACTCTGAATGCTCACGGGGCATTTTCTCTTTAATTTGCACACAGTGTTGAAAAGAGCTGCAATAAAGAAGAGCAAAAATGACCTGATTCATGCTGAAGAAGGTGAGGACCATTTCACAGACATTTGCTCCGTTGGTGAGTACTGGCTTTGCATTCCCCGAGGTTTAGAGCTCCACCTAAACGTGTTCGTGTCATGTTTCCTCCGAGCGACTCCTTTGCTCCAGCAGCTGCAGTTTCAAGAAGGAGAATTATCACTGCTCCTGCAGCAGCACTCAACTTCCCAAAGCAAATGGCTTCATGGCTTCACCCTCTCCCCTACGCTGCCCTGCTCAGCTGTTGCATGCCGCACCCTTTAAAAGAGCCCTGCCAAAACGCTTGGAGAATCCGCGCGGTGTTGGCCATACCGTGATTCTGCTTGGAACACGCTCATTGACGCTAATGCCACCCAAATACATCAAACGGTACGGCTAAGCCTCATCTGCCGAAGGGAGGAGAGGAACTGGACACTTAGTCACATCTGCCACGGATGGACAGTGTGGTTTTGCAGCCTTTGCTGTGTGAATGGTTACTGGGAAATCCTGGGCAGTGGTCTTAATTCTCTGATTCTTGCATTAGAAGATCTTAAAGCAATTCTCTATGTTTTCAAAGCCAGATATGCAGATACACACCTATGTGCATGCTGTTGCCCACATAGCTCCAATGCAGAGCGTGGCATCCTGCAGAGTGTAGCATTGATGGCGTGAATTTGGTATCTTCAGCTCTGGAGAATAAGAGACTGTCGGGCTGCGCGGGTACTGCTTGTTCTGCCATTAACAGAGAGTGAGTTCCCTCCTGAGATGTTGCCAGGTGGGGAGGCAAGAAGCAGGTCTGGGGTTTGCAAGGGGAGGCAGGCTCTGGGCACGCAGCACCCTGTCTAAGGGGAACTGTTTGGACATCGACAGAAAGACCTTTCAGTTGTAGGGTTTTTACTTGCTGGCCGGGGAAACATCTTCCTGACTGCTTTGGAGTTAGCTATTTTGCTTATTCCCATCCCTGTTGTTCGAGTCGGTATTTTGTTTTGCTGCTGAAGCAGCAGATGTTCTCATTATCTTCCAAAGAAACGTCTTGGCACCCCAGTTACCACAAAGCAGCAAATCCTGGATGCATAACAGTAGCAGCACAAACGGTACATTTGAGAGTACATGTCCGTATATGCTTGCAAGCATGAGTGCCTCAGATGCTCTTTGGAAATTTGGCATTAACGTTTTAAGAGATTACAGCTGCTGCTGGATTTTTATTTTTTTTCCTTCCCTTTAAATGAAGACCTGGTTGCAGGAAATGAATGTGGCTCAGCATGTTACTGACACCATCACCCACTGTTGAACTCCCACAGGCCCCGAGGCTGAGCAGGCTGTAGGTTTTGTGGCTAAACTGCTGACACTTCTGTGAGAGGTTTGTTGCTGAAAGAGGGCAAAAATGCAGCAACTGTGTGCATTTTTGTTTTATTCTGAGCAGCTCGGATCCCTGCATGAATAGCAAGGAATGGTCATTTTGGGAACATTTGTTCATGGTTGCAATAATTATGAGATCTTTGCATTCACATCCAAAGTCCCTCCAGGCTCTGGGCACCCATGCCATGCAAACAGATCTTTGAATTCAGCCTTTCAGGTGGCAACAGATGACCAAGCATCTGGACTCGTGGATAATCTGATGCAGAGCTGGGAACTATCTCAGGAGCATATGGCAGGGAAAATAACAGCAGTGCTTTCCACCTTCTGCGAGTGGTTCACCCACTTGGGAAAATTGTTCTTGATCTTGATTCATGAAACGAGGCAGAAAAGAAGAAATGGATAAAGCAGATACTTCTGCAGGCTCCTGAAAAGGCTGAAACTCTGCATAACATAAACAATCAGATCATATGGGCAATTATGCATAAAGAATACATTTCTGAGAAAAGGTTTTTTTGGATGGTTTTGTGTAATGTCTTGCTGATGGGACATAAGAAGCATGGAAGAACTAACAATATAATTACTGAGTGCAGCATGAAGATGCAGACCAGAGTGGTAGAGACTTTGACAAGTCTCTTGCTGGCCATTGACTGAATTCGTTGCACTTTAATTCAAACACAAGTACCTCAATGAGCCTTATAATTGCATTATAAAGCTCTATAGTGGTAAACACTTCCCAGTGTGTTCTCTGGAGTTGTTCTTAACATTTATTCTTTCCTTTCCTCCTAACTCTCAGCCTTTCTTTCCGCACTAATAAGCGTGCAGCAGTAGATGTTGGCTCCTTCTGGCTTCCCACCCTCTACGCTGTACCAGACACAGGGCACTGTCTTGATTGCCAGACAGCGAAGCCTGGAGAAATGGATGTTTTCTATGTTAGATCAGTTTAAACATTGCTGCTTTGCTTTTCTGGAAGATCAGTAGAGACGGGATGAAAGGGCAGCAGACTATTCCCATACAAAACTGAGAGTACAGACTGGCTTGAATATCTGAGAGATGTTTGCCGGCTGAACATTATTACGATACGGTGCAGCCTGTATCTTAACCTGTAGTTCATTTTGTTGTCTTAAAGCAATAGATGAGCACTATGATTTGGTGGTTTTGGTTTTTTTTTAAACTGCCAAAGGGAGGATTATCAAACCAACAGAACCACAGCACACTGAGCTTTTCTGCGAGGAATTTATTCAAAGCCTGGCCAGGGCCATCTCTGCATTTGGCATCTTGATGGATGACCAGCAATGTGAAATGGAGCAGAGAGCTTGCTTTCTATTGGGGAGACAGCGTTGCATGCTCTTTTGAGGCTTGGAGGACCCTTTGCTGTGACAGCTGGATGTTTCATCCTTTCTATGGGTGCTGTGTTTGATGGTATTGCAGGATGAGATTCCCACCTCTTCCAAGTGTTGAAATGTAAGCGAGCACACTCAAAAATTTGGCTGCTTCAACCAGAACACTTTGTTCATGTAACTCAGCCATCTCCAACGACAGCCCATGCAAGTCATCTGCTCTCACGGTGCTCGGTCCAAGACAGGACCGTGTGTGTCTTGATCAGCCCTACCTGCTGGGAGGCTCGGTCCCATGATGGGGAAGGGCAACAACATACTATCTTGCCATTATCAAACCATCTTGAAACAAAGGTTGCTAGCAGTTTCTGAGGGGTGCCAGCACCACGGGAAACAGGTAGTGGACAGCCTGCGACAATCACGATTTTCCCTGCTTGCAACAGCGTCTGCGGCTGTTGCAGAGGAACTCCAACAGATGCATGTGTTTATTACTACCATGTGCTGATTTCTCCTGCCTCCGCACTGGCCGGAGATTGCCTTTTCATCGTTCGTTTGAACAGTGCCTGATACCACAGGGGGAGAGCTTACATTAGAAATCATTTCTTCCGTTAGCTTCCTATTGTTAAAACATTTGACTCTCTGCCAGGGTTTCAGACCAGAGTTGAAATGTAGCTGATATAGGCAGAATTGATACAAATGAGTAGCTGCGCCCAAAATATGGTGCATGGAGGCAGATTGAGCCCTCTGCTGTAGAAATACATGAAGTTGGAGAGTAAAATAAGGAGACTTCACTCAATTCAGTAGTAAGGGCGGGGTTTTTGCCTGGTCTTTGGAGCAGGGAAAATAGGGACCAGCTTCCCTTTTGCCAGCTACCCAGCTCCAAGAGGACGTACTCCACACGGCAGGCAGAAATACCACTATGCCCGGTACTTTCTGTCCCTCCAGGCAACCGGGAGTGCAAAAGTTATGAGTTAAACTGGGACAATCAAGATTGCTTCAAAAGGTTGTAAGTCCAGTTTCTTTAGGTGGTGGAGCTGGGCATTCGTTCATGAAGTTTTAAAATCCCAGCCTTCATCCTTCACGATGTCATTGCAAGCAAGATGTCCTTGCTCAGCCCATAGTCAATGCGCCCAGCTTTCTGCTCAGCCGTGTTTTTGGTGCTTGGGAGAGGGTCTGTGTGCCCAGGAACATCCTCCAGCCTTTCACCTGCTGGGCTGTGGTGTGGTGACTCTTCTTTCTGTCCCAGGGTCTCCTTTTGCCCGTGCCAGTTTGAAGAGTGGGAAGAACGAGAGCTCATCCTACTTCAGGAGGAAAGAGAAAATGTTCCGGTTCTTCATTCGGCGCATGGTGAAAGCTCAGAGCTTCTACTGGATTGTCCTCTGCGTGGTCGCCCTCAACACGCTCTGTGTCGCGATGGTGCACTACGACCAGCCGGAGAAGCTCACCACTGCCCTGTGTGAGTACTGGGGATTTCACGTTTCCTCTAACGAGGTTTTGGATTTTTGATCACTCTGAGCACTGCTGTCACATCCCCATGAGGTCTGGTGTTCGGCTTCCTGTGCCTCCCTCAGAGGAGGATCAGAAATGCGCTGATTCTAGTAACTCAAGAGTAACTGAGTCATACAATTCAGAAAAAATCCACCAGGACGTGATACTGGTTTGAGATGGGAATGTTATACTAAAAGTTACCTGAAACTTCAGATTCAACCACATTGAAATCTTGTAACACGACCGGAGGATTTGTTCTGTTGTGGGCTTTATGAAAGGAGGGGGAATGGCTCTGTACTTGGGCAAAGGCAGGTTTCTCTGTCTAATCAACATCTGCCCAGAGAACTGCAGAATTCATGGCACTTCACAACTGATCTGCATCCATGGATGATTTCTGTTGTGGACATACTTAAAGCTTTGCCAGCTCTGATGTCCCTGGGACAGCAGCAAGTGCAATGGCCGGTGCTACCTGGGAGATGAAAATGTCTATCTGTGCTTATAGAATCGTACACGAATTCACTACAGTTGTAGCAATTGTTGTCATATTCTTTAAAAGATTGCAACTTTACAGAAGGTCTTTTTTGATAATCGTGTCTTCCTTACTGATGGTGTGTCATTAGAAGGGATAAATGTCATGATGCCCTTCTGTGAAAATATGTGCAATAGTGATAGAAATAATACCATACAGAAGCTTATACTATACTTGTGGGAAAGCTTTTATTTCAGCTTGATTCCTGTGATCATCTATCAATTTAGGCTCGAGATAGTCTATAAGTGCTTTTGAAGTACGACTTTTTTCTTTTTTTTAAATTGCATATTATTTTGTCCTATGATGAATAACAAATGGAGACAGCTTTCTACAGTCAGAACCTTTACACATCACAGTGTTACACTGAGGTTGCAGACTTGCTCAAGAAGCCTGTTTTAAAAAAATGTGGAAGATGAGGGACAGAGATTTTTGGTTTTTTTTGTTTTTTTTAATGAAGGTTGTAGGCCATGACTCCTAGAGCTGGAAAACTTGTAGAAATTGGAAGAATATTGTGACACTGAAAGTGGGACACTGCAAGTTTTTCCTTTTGAAGGAAAAGGATGGAGAGTTTGTTTCTGGAAGACAGAGCCATCGCACTGGCCACTTCTGACTCTATCAAATGGCCGGGAACAAGTCTTTTGTTCAGTGCTTGATAACCAGATGTAGCTAGTTCAGAATTTGTTAAGTAAAACTTCTGAAGCAACCAAACAGAAGACTAGGAAAAAAAACCCCAAATATTTCAAACAGTCTAAATAATTTTGGCATAGATCTTTAAAGATACTTACCTACCTAATTATCCTTGATTTCTATATAAATTAGATACTTAAATATTTCTAGCACCAGATCCTCAGGTCTTGCCTTATTATAAGGAAGCAAATTTTTGAAGGTGTTTCTTTTTAATAAACCTAAAAGGTCAATAATATGAGCTGCTATGACTTCAAAAAACTCCCTATTAATATTTGCTGAAATATTTAATACCACCAGGTAACTGGAGCTATAATGAGAGATACATAAGAAGGACAGAAACTTCTTTCAAGTCTGGGTTTTTTTTTTTTTTTTTTTCCAAGATTTGGACTGAAAAGAGAAGTCAGTCTTGCTTATTCATTTCTTAAATTTAACAGATGAAATAATAAGCTAGATTGGCAGAGTAATTAGAAGTTTGAGGCTTAGGATTTCCTCTTGAATTAGGACTAAATGTCTAGAAAAAAAACACTTTAAGTTTTTCAAGTCAAAAAAGAAGGCTTCCAATTTACAAACTCAGTTTTGGGAACACCTTATGCAGCAACTTTGCTAAAAGAGGATAAAGAAATCATTGAGCCAGCAACCTTTACTTAATGTTCATGTGAGAGCTGGAAGGGATGTTTCTGTTGATTGGAATTAAAGGTACGCTTCCAGGTGGGAAACGTATCTGGGACAGAGGCCACAAATTAGGCTCCCAACCTACCTCACCTGAAGATGAAAAATAGGGAAGGTTGAAATTCTGTCGTGCCTGGGATCAGAGATTGGGGTAGACCCTTCTTTCAGGAGCTCTGCATGTGTCTCTAATGCCCAGTATTGTGAATTAGTTTCAGAAACACTTGGGTAGCATACTTGAATTTCTTGGTGCTAGGGTACCACCCAGCTAAGAATGAGTGATCTCATTGACTTCTTTTTAATGGAAAAGTCAGAAAAACACCACAGAAAAATGTGGTTTTGGGAGGTAGATCCTCAGCATCCTCCCAGCCATAGGTGCTTTCCTGTGCCTCATCTGCCCTTTGTATGTCGTTGCATCATTGCGCTGCCATTTACTTGTAAGACTTGAGTGTCCTTTGTCGATAAGGGAGGTGTTTCACAAATCAATCCCTTAGATTCACTAAAAGAAATACTAGTGGCTACAGATAAACACTGCTAGAAACAACTGTAATTGGTGAGAGGCAACACAGAGGTGGGTTACAGACAAAACCAGAATATCTGAGGAGTCATAGGTTTTGTAGGTGTTCTTGTACAGGTGTAAGCGTTGGGTCTTTAGTACAAGATTAACCACCGTGGCATAGAGAATAAAAGCCAGAGATGCAGAATGAATGGTCATCATGGAAATTCTAAGATACCCTAGATAATTTTCTCTCTCTCTTTTTTTTTTTTTTTTTTCCCAAGATCTTTTTCTCCAAGACAAGAAGCAGAGGTGCTATGCATTCATTCTGGGGAGGATTGCCTCTGGTCTGTCTTATGCCATAGTGTAATGGAAACTTTGGGAAGAAACCTATTTTAATGTAATTTTAGAACTAAGAGCTTCTGAGAATTGTATGCTGAAAAGGCTTACAAGTTCAACGTCTTAAATGACGAGAGTCCCCTATCTCCAAGCTCTCTCAACTTTTCAGGATGATGAGCTGTAGTATTATATTCACGCCTGTCTGTGTTGGTAATGATCTAAAGGTTTCTGCCTGCTGTCCTGGGGGATGTTACAGTTTTCATAGCATGATCTTTCCTACTAATCTAAAGTTTAATATTGAACGCAGGCAATATTTTATGCTTTAAGGTACATGGGACTTTGCATGGACTAACTGGTTGTTTTGTTGCTGCAATCGTTGTAAGTCTGGACTTGGCCCCTCTTGCTCCCGCATGCACTAAACCGCAGCCAGGGTGATCAGCCCTGCCATAAACACATTTGTGAATGAGCCCAGCTGTGGTTTAGCCCTTGACGAGTGCTCCTTGAAACCCCTCTTCTGCCCAAGATTTGTGCACAAAGCCATTAGATACAGGCAGAACAAGATATCACAATATCAGGGATTTTAAACAGCTTCTGAAAATACTTGGCAAAATCCTTTAACGGTAAGAGTGACAGAGTTTAAAAATGGCTTTAAAGTTAATCCATGATAAGTGAACTTCGCTACAGAGGAGCGGGACTTGGCTAGTCTGATGTAGAGCAGGAGAGAAGTAGCCAATTCTAATTATGTTGTTTCATAGAAGGTGATTAGAAATGAACTGTCGAGGAGTTTTGTGAACTGTAGCAGTGGGAGAGGAGTGTGGTAAAGTCTGGGAGAATCCGCTAAACCCTGAAACTCTACCCAGGCACCTCTAATTCAATTATACCTGTCCCTCTGGGGAAAAGTTTAATTACATTACGAATTAATTTTACTTAAAGAATGGTTGGTAAAAGCCTACGGGTCTGCATTGATTTATTTTTTCCCTTGGTCTTTTCTTTTAACTTTTCTGTTTTTGAATTGTTCTGATTGGCTTTCTCTGCTTGATATTCCATATTGCTGCAACTGCTTTGGAAAAGGAACTGCAGGAGCTTTAGAAAGGGGCTTGTGATTTCTTTAGCCTTATTGAAAGAACTGATGAGAAATTATATGAATTCTTGGAGTATAATGAATAAGAGGACATACCTTATGCCCCTGTAATTATCCCCAAATTAGATCAGAGATTTTTCTTCTCCATACGGAAAAGACTCCAGTGCCAAATTGCAATAGGATTCTTCTCATGCTGCCTATGGACACATGGCATGTTCTGCTCACTGAAGCACGGACCTTTGGTTAACTTAAGTTGCACTTCCCTGTAAAAGTATATATTTCATGCAACCACCCATCATCGTCATTTGTTTGCATTAATTTCCACCATTGCCAGTATTCTCAGAAAGAAGGGACTTCTGTCAGAAAACATCTCTGTAACCTAACCTAGAAAAGCATCACTGAGATCTAGTAGCAGCAAAGATGTATCTTCAACTGAGGGCAGCAAATCAATAAAATCCATACTGTGAGCACACAGTGAAGGGGCAGCGTTAAGGGATTTTCAGTCAGGACTGTGCCTTTTAAAAATATATGCTGTAGCTTGAGCAGAAGTTGTCTGCCTGATGTGGAAACAGCTGGATGCATTTGCATACCCCGTGCTGTACAGGTGGCCAGCAGAGATGGTGCTGGTGGTGGTCTCCTCTTCCTCTGGCTAAAGCTGTGGAAGAAGGCTGGAACCAGAACTCTCTGGCCTTCATGGGGTGGGCTTTAGGGACTGTGGTGAGAAGGTTTTAGGGCTGAATCAGTGAGGTTTCACTTGGGAGCCCTCTCATCAAGCTTCCCTTCCCCTGTGGTTGCCCTTCACGAAGCAGCTCTCTCCATGTTTCTCCAGCTAACACTACAGTGATCCTTAACTTGCTTCTAAATTTATGCCTGTCTGAAAACAAGATCCAGAATGTCTCCTTTCTGATAAATACAGTATTTGAAAACAGTATTTTAGCCATTATGGCCTGAGAATGTCTTCCTTGTGTGCCGCACAATGCTGAACCATGTGTTTGGTGCAATTAGGCCTTTTTTATTGATGTTGTGTTTGCCTTTGAAGTAGATAGCCAATTCCCTCTGGATATAAATATGCAGTATTTGCAATTGTGAGAAAAAAGCTTTCTGAAGCGAGCATATTTATTTATGTCTGCTGAACATTTCACATCTGCTTTGTCTAAGAGGAGGAAGTTGTGCTTCACCAAGGTTCTTCTCCTGGTTGGTTTAACGTGTGAGGAGGATGAGGAGAGAAAACCAAACTATCAGGCTCAGTACCTGCTCCTAATGACATTGGACTTGAGATGGGGCAGAAATGGAATTAATCCATGGATGATTGACAGAAAAGAGTCACTAACTATCTAATTCAAACATACAGGGCAAAAAGATGTTAGTATGACCTTTGCCAATAGCACAAATTTGAAATTAAATAAGAGTATTTGTATCAAACTTTTTTTCCCTTAAATCACATTACAAAATGCTTCTGCTTAAGGCAGATTAAATTACATGTGGGGTCTGAATACCAGGAGGTCCAAACAACAAAATTGCATTTTCAATTATAAGGGCAGGACCATGTCAGAAGAAATCGTGTCTCTGATCCGTTTGCTGGAGAAGCTGATTCATTCCGAGTCAGTTCCTTCTGCCCAAGGAGTTCATTATGCTCACATTTTCCTTGCCTCCATCCGTTGTCTTCACAGTGCTATGATTTGTAGCGTCTGGTACCTGCTGAAATGTGGCTATCGCTGCCTGTTGTGAACTCTGTCTAGATGGAAGTCATCAGCTGTGGAAGGACAAGTTGGGTCATTCTTTCAAGAGAAGCAGAAGGAAGTTGTTTCTTGCATGTTCTGAGTTTCTAACATTTCCTGTTGTGTTGTTTTTTGGTTTGTGTTTGTTTTTGGTTTTGTTTTTGTTTTTTTTAAAATCAAATATTTCTTGATTCTGTTTTACTTAGGTCATTTACTAGCTTTTTTTCTCCTGTGATACTCTGGTTTTGTGTGTGTGCTTGCAAGATGTGCCAGTATGATGATGGAACATTTCGCTTGTTGATACCTGGTTTTTGTTCATACTTGTACTGGATGCATGACTGAACATTAATCCTTGTTTCTTTCCTCCTTTTTCTTCTTTTAAAATAATCGTAGTTGTCTTGGCAAAGAGTATTGAGATCTGCTGGTGAAAATTACAGTAAAAACCCCCTACCCACTGTTTTTGTTATTCTGTGATAGAATATGGGGCATATCTGAAATGCAACTCTTAAAGGTGAGTCTGGTGGATAGATACAAGGATAGAATCTCCCTGCCAGAGTGAGATGTGAAGCAGGTGGAGGCTGTGCAATACTTTCTGTAGGTCTGCTCTACAATCCTTCCCTACGATTTGAAGTTTTGTCTGCTAACTAAGCAAGGCCACCAGTTTCAAAGCATTGGTTTGGTATCAGTCCTTGTGACAGGGAGACTTTACACTGAAGTCATTCCAATAAGTACCATTGGGCTTGCTGAGCTCTGCTGAGTGTGAAACCGAAGATGGGAGTGATAACTTCCCAGCAAGGAAGAGACTCTTGTCAGCACAAACACTGGTGCAAGCTCTCCCTCTGGGCTAGTGACTGAAACAGGTGACAGCAGCAGCACAAATTCTTCCATGCCCAGAGAAGATGCACCTGCTTTATTTGGGGGAGTTTTGCTTTCTGTTTCTTACCATTTCCGAAGTACACGGGGTGTAGAATGGAAGTTCAGGATCTGGCCTGGAAGCTAGTTTAAGCTTCTGATTTACAGGACAAGCCATTAATAATGAAGGATTTTAACATTCTTACTACTTCACAACTACGGTCTTTTTAATTACTTGCACAGAAATTCAATACCACCGAACATGTGTTTTTCAAAAATTCAGTATTTTTATGTTGTTGGTCTCATCAGCCTTCTCATTTTATGCCTGACATTGATTCACCTGGTCCCTTTCTCGCACCCTCCATGCTCGTATATTCAGATTTATTGTCAGTGTAACCATGGATAACTCCCTACTCTGGGATCCCTTGTGTTGGAAACAACTGTTTGCTCACCGAGCTGTTGCATCTGATGTCAGAAAGGAGAGAAAAGTTGTAGCATGGTGCAGGCGTGAACACGCTGATTCTTGCAAGTTCCAAGCTCAAAGGGCGATGGAGATGTGCTGCTCCTTCATGTGACCGTGCCTTCCCCGAGCACTGAGATCCAGTGGACGGAATCTACCTCTTGGTAGGAAAAAGGCTGAGAAGTCTGCAGACCTCATACTTTGTCATCTTATTCCTCAAATGTGAACATTTTGCCCTTGATAGTCTCTTTTAATGATATTGCTCCTGTTTTCAAGGAGAGTACGTTACATGGTGTAATTAATACCCTCCTGGTATTTCCGCCTCTATTGCAAATATTGGCAGAAGTGTCCTTGTAGGATCCTCACTGGAGTGTTAATAGAACCTTTCTCATCCAGTTAATGCTTCCTGGATTTCAGTTAACTTTATGCCATGATGTTTCATGACTGCCTTTCCTTTAAAATTTAAACCCCCTTTTCATTTTTTGATAATTGAAGCTGTATTTTTCAAGCAATTTCAAAAGACAAGCGCGATGCGAGATGGAGCTGGGCCAATCACGCTCACTCAATATGAGTGTGCAAGGCAGTGAACGGAGCAAAAGCCGTGCTCGTTCCCTCCTCTCTCTTTCCCCATGCTCGCTATCCGAAGCCACATATTGCAGGAGGTGTACAAAGCACCTGGCATTCAGGATTATCTAGCTGAAATTTTCTTTGTTGCAACCTGTATCCATTGCCCCTTGTCTGTCCGTGTGCACCTCTGAGAAATGTTTGGCACCGTCTTGTCTGTATCATTCCTGGAATTGTAAAACTGAAATTACAGAAGACGACTTTGCAGTGGTATCTGTGCTGCAACAGTGTCCGAGAACCTTCTGTACTGCCCTAAGCAATATGATTAATCTCCACCCCTTGAAGTTTGATTGTTTTCCTCATCTTTTGTCTAGAGAGAGAGGTTTGCCTTATGCTATTTGGTTTGCTTTGGTAGTCTAGACGTTTTTTGCCCTTTTGGTGTTTGTTTTTAACGTTCCGATGTTGCTTATTGGCCTCCAGATCTAAACTTGCATGACTTATAATGCCAAAGGCAGTGTTTTCTGTACCTTTACATCCTAAAAACTTGATCAGAAATTGAAGTCTCCAACTATGTTCTTTCTGCCCTTTGTTCCATCATAGGTGAAAAATTTTCCCATCGAAAGCTTCACAGCCTATTTGCCTGTGACATGTGAAACAGAACTTGCTCTTCTATAATTATATGGTTATACAGGCATAATAAAAATAAATGTGGCTATGTGCTAACAGTAGACTCAACACCTCTGAATATGGAGTCTCAGAGGTAGCAGTTCTGTTGGGTACGAAGATATTTTTATCATGAGAGGATGTTACAAAAGCTTACACCCAGCTCCCAAAAGTGCTCCTCTCATGTAGGTACAGAAGTTCTAAACATACATTTGCAAAACATTATCTGTGCGATTGTATTAGACCTTTAGAAATATTAGATCCAGAGCTTTCTCTTGAAATTCCTTTACAAAGACGATGAGAATATTATTTAATGCTCATACCACTTTCCCACAGTACACATGAAACATTGCCTTCACAGTTCTTAAAGGCTGAATACAGCTCATGTGCATATAGAAATAATTGTGTGAAACTGTCCTTGGGGTCTTGTTTGCCATTGCAAAGGGATTTTCTTCTGGCAAGAGACAGTCTGTGTTGTGGAAAAATTACCATTGTTCGCATCATGAAGAGATCTGCCTACCAAGGTCTTGTGGACTAATTTAATCTCTTTTCCTGTTTCCAGATTTTGCAGAGTTTGTTTTTCTGGGTCTGTTCCTTACTGAGATGTCTTTGAAGATGTACGGATTGGGACCAAGAAATTACTTCCACTCTTCATTCAACTGCTTTGACTTTGGGGTGAGTAGGCTCCAGCGGTGTGGATGAAGTGTGTGGCGCTCTGGTGTTCAATAGCGTTGGGCGTTTAAAGGCGAGTATGGGAATCCATGGGAAATGGTGCTGTAAGCGCGTCTTCTGCAGGCAGCAGTCATGGTATAAATTAGCTGCAGTGAAACACGTTAAGCTTCCCCTAGTTATCATCCTTTCTGAAGAAATGTGACAGCTGGGGATTTCATTTCCTCGGCAAGCTACAGGGTGTTCGCAGCGTCAGCACCAGTAAATGCTCTGATTAGTGAGAGATTCTCTCTCCCATTTAAATGAAGTGATTGAAAGACAGAAACACATCTTATTGCTCATCTCCCCTATCATCCCTTTAATGGCCTTTATCTCAAGATACACAGGCAGCACTTTTCAGACATGAGTGCCCAGAAGTAGAAATCTAAACACACAATTAGGTGAGAGAAAGGCAATAACACATCCTTTTACTGCAGAAGTACAGGCTCTTCCCTTCGTGCTAGAACTAGTGTTGAAGAGTGAACAGTGGGGCCAGATTTGACTCTGTCTAACAAAGAACATTGCATGCAGATGTTATTTATTCATTAAAAACTATTAGGCTGTAATCTGTCCTCACAGAGGTTACTTAGTTTCTCTTACCTTTAGTGTGGGCTGAGCACCGCATCCCAGAGCAGGAATCAGTCTGTAAGGTTTCTTTAACAAACCAGATAATGAAACTCTTGATACAGTCACGGGCAAAGGGAAAATGGTTTAGGTCATTGTACATGTCATCCAGCCCTTCTTTCCAATATTTAGTTTGTTGTTTCTAGTCTTTATCTGCCCAAATGTGCAGAGTGATTCTTCTCCCCCATGGAGTAAAATTCCTGACTTATCTCTGCTGCTGCAAGGGAGGAGGAGGTACTCTTGCCTTCGGTAAGTGACCACTTCTAAATCCGACACTACAGGTAGAGCCAGCTTCTCTTCTTTTTGCCATTGTAAAAGCTCAGAGCTAAATAGACTTTGAGATTAAACCATACAGCCCAAGAATCACCTGTCCCCAACAGACTGAGGTGTTGCATCAGGCTGCAGCAAGCGTGGGGGTCTCCTCCTGGGGTGTCCATCACAGCTGGTGGTGGCTCACAGCATTGACATGCCTTGTGCTGCTCTTTCTGGCTGCATAGCCCAAAGCGACCCTAAACCGCTCCTTCGTGGCAATAATGCAGACTCAAACTGTTATGAGGGGAAAGCTGAGCACAAATAACACAGACAATGTAAGATAACTGGAAGTCTGTACGTTCAGAGTTGGTGCCTAATCCGAGGGGCAGAGAGGCCCTCCTCAACTGAAGGCAGCCAACCCATGGCAAAGTTTAACTGTACTGGCAAGACGTCCTGCAAAGGCTGGTGGAATAAAGAGTGTGCCCACAGAATACAAGGGGGCTGACACCCAGCTTTCACTAAATTCAATGCATGCCCAAAGCCCCCAGCTTCTGTAAGCTGAGTCGAAGATTTTGGCAGCCAAGCAACATTGCCAAGTTAGTCTTTTAATGGTATCATTGCCTTGTTTGTGTTGTCTAGTGACAGGCACCAGATCGATGTCCTTCACCCATGGGTTAGGTGGGCTCCAAGTTGCAGCCAGTTTGCCCCCTTGCTGGCTGGCAATTTCCCTGGATCCTTCTATCCACAGCAAGAAGAGTTGGTACCTGATGGTCAGGGCAGGTGATTGAGGAGCTTGTGCTAAGCAAGAGATGAACCGACCGGGTCTCTCTGCTTTGTGTTGTGCTCTGGTGAGTGCAGCACTGGCAATAAGCTTTGCCAAATGTTTCCCAGGAGGTAAGGCTGTTGATCTGTTTCTAATTCTTCCTGCTTTAGAGAATCCATAGGGATTATACTTCTGTCTATGTTTCTTCCTCCTCACCCACCTTCCAGCCTCGAGAATTAATTCAGCTACTTCACCCCCACTGGAACATCACACAGCTCTGTAGTCAGTTTAGTTTGACAAACCAAGATGAAACCATTCAAATGCAAACAGTGAAACAACAAATCAGAGCAACATAAGTCTTGGGAGTAACAGTCCAGTGGGGTCTCATGTGAAACAAGCTCCCAGGAGGCCGTGTTGAGATGCCAGGAAAATTAATTATCAGTGTAACGTGTGGAGGGTCTAAGGAAAGGGTTTTGCTGATTCATGAGGGATTCCCAAGAGTGATAGACTGTGGGAGAGAAGTTTTAGTTCCTTCTTTTTCTGATGGGAGAAACTGGATGAGCAACTGTTGTGTATCTCCCTTTCACACTACATTTTCTTGAAGCTCAGGGTACAGCATTACTTGCAAAGCAGCTGCAAGCAATGCTGTGGCTTTTAAAAAGCATTCAGGTTTCTGTTTATGAAAGGAGTTTCCAAGCTGCTGAGCCTCCCTGCACTGCTCAGGTACTCAGACGTGGCTCTGCCGGCCCAGACTTCCCATTAACGCTCCCACTCACAACACAAACCAGCTGCTTGCTGGGGTCCGGAGCTAATGTGTTTATGGTGCGCTTTGCGCGACTGGGGACCGTGGTCAATGGGAGCTCTGAAATGCTGGGTTAATGCAAGTAAGAACAGCAATTGGCAGTGAAATGTCTGTCCTCTCTTATTAACTGTGCGTGGATGTAATTGCCCTTTCCAATTGTACTTAACCCGTTACTCGTTCGTACTGTTTGTAATAAAGGATTTGAGAAAAAGATTTCTATAGCACTTGAGGTTAATTCTCTGCCAACCTTAAAACAAACAAACAGACAGAACAGAACTTAAAAAAACCACCTTGACTGGGGACAATTTTTTCAGTAACCAGAGGCTGAGGACCTGACAGATGATTGGAAGTGCATGCAAGAGGCTTTGCAGGATCTCTTAATAGCTATTACCTTAATTGCTCTCCTAAAGACTCTCAGTTGCCAGAAGTATCTGGTAGATCTTGCCCAGAGCTAACGTTTCACTGTTCTGCAGTGCTGTGGGTGAAGACTTTTGGTGCTTCTGATGGGAAGAGGAGGACGGGGCAGTGTCCCCCTTCATCTCTGCAGGCTCCAAAGACCGACTGCATGGGCTGGGAAAATGAAGTGTTGGCATTTGCAGTTGAGCCAGTGTAAAAAAAAAAAAAAGAAAAGACAATGTCCTTCAGAAAAGGTTATTTGAAGGTACTTTGCTTGCTAGAGAAGGGAGCAACAAGCTCCTATCTGTGATCTCCTATGCGTCTGTCCCGCTTCCAGGTATTGCCCTTTTTTAGACTGGACTGCAGAAAGTTGGAACAAGGCTTTTTAGTGCTGTTGGCTAATTCATGATTTTGCTGAAGCCTTCAGAAGAAAATTATCACTGCCCAAGCTCTGATTCTCGGTTTGTCCTCAGCCTCTCTAGAAGCACTACAAAGAATTAAGCAGAAGTTTTGCCTTACGTAAAATGGACTCTGCTTACAGGTCATCGTGGGAAGTATATTTGAAGTTATTTGGGCTGCAGTGAAACCGGGTACCTCATTCGGCATCAGTGTACTGAGAGCACTTCGACTGCTGAGGATTTTCAAAGTAACAAAGTAAGTACAGCTCCCTTTCTGCTCACCTTAGACTTGTAGCACCATATGAAAACTGTATCACCAGCCTCACAGCAAGTAGTAGTGCTTTCCCCACTAGTAAAAACAAGAAGTTTAAAAAATACAAAAAACAACTCCCAAAAAACCCTGGACTAGCTAGCACAAAGGTCTTGTCTGTCCTAACATCCTATGTCTGCATTGGCCCTAATGGGGGGCAGGAGCAGAACAAAACTGCAGATGCAGAATTGCCCTTTCCTTGGCTGGGCAATCAGAGTTTCTGGCAGTTGGAAGTTTAGGCAATTCCTGAGCCTGTATTTGCACCCACATGGACTTTTAACAGCCCTTTCCCCAGCCTCATGCACAGGTTTGTCTGCCTTTGGGCAGGGAGCTCCACAGTGTAGGGATGGGCTGCATGACAGCATCCTGATTTTCTTTGGTTTTAAGCAAGCTTAAAAACCAAAATCTTGTGACACAATCCCATATTTCTTGTGGTAAGAGAATAAAGTTTCTTATTTACTTTTCAAAGCCTCATCAACTGCCCACTGTCCTTACGCACTGCTGATCTGGTGAGGGTTCTGTCAGTATTTAGCAACTGGAAAAAGGAGCTACCCTGGTTATTCCTAGATACTAAATGCTGGTGCCTGAACCACTGTGTTGACACAAATATGAAGTTGTTGCTGCTGCCTTTGCTGTATCTGGTCTGGGAATATCTGATGTTTTCAGTCCTGAGCCTGTGAAGTTGAATTTTCACTAGAGTTGGGTTGCCACAGCTTTTCAGTTGTTTTCATGCTCAGGCATTGCGTTAATGTGTGCTGGCATTAGCAAATGGCTACCGTGCAATTTATAAATCCATCTCGAGCAATTTCTCCGGGATTTCAAAATTGTGGTGTGGAAAGGGATGACATATTTAGGTGCTCCTGCTGTTGTTTTCCACCTTTTTCTTTTTTTTTTTTTAACACTCTTTTACATCATTACCTCCTCAGATTTCTCCTCTTTCTATCACTGTTTTGCTTGTTCTTGGCTTGAAGTAACAAAAGCAGGAATAGCACCTCCCTCCAAAAAAACCTCCAACCGCCTCAAACAGAAAAAGCACAGGCTATCACATTTGAGCAAAACAGCCATTTGAAGTAACCAGGTATTTTACAGCTATTCAAACACGCAGGTTTTGTTAGCTCTGTAGGGTTTGCTGATTTGTATCTGCTAATCATTACGCAGATCCAAGACTGGTGTGCGATGTCGTTTGTTGTACTGTGGGACAAAGGGGTTGGAAATATTAAGTTCTGTAAATGTCCAGCAAAATAGGCAGGCACCTGCCCCAGAAATGTCATTATAGTCTACCTTTGCACTATCTTATTTATGGAAAACTCCAGGTTTTGTAGCAAATTCATAGCAATTAATTGTCAGCAGTTAATTTTATCCAGAACTACTGAAATTTAGTGTATCTGATTGCATGTTGTACTTTTAAAATATTTTGGACGTGTTTGCAAGTGAAAATGATCTTTTTGCAAGTTTTGACTATTCAGGATTTTAGCCACCATAACAAAGGGATAAAGCCTGAGATTTAACGTACAAAGCGTATCATGGAGCAAGCCGAGTGCTGTCCCCCTTCTCAGGTCAGCGAGTGAAATTCTCACCCCACTGACACTGAAGTTCCCTTGACCTAATTACATGTGGATTTTTCACCCGACACGACACAAATGCGTTTATCGCCTCACCAGAAGCCAGGTTCCCCCCCAGCTCACCCGTTATCCCCATACCTGAGCTGCACAGCTCATGGAGAGTGACCAAAGCAATGGCACCAGGCACAGATTGCTCACCCACCCACTCTCATTACAGTCTTTACCATGAAAGCATCTTGACCCTCAGTTATTTTATTTGTTTTCCCTTTTTCCATCTCTTTCACAACAATTTTTTTCTGAAGCTCCCTGCCTTTTTTTTTTTCTTTTACCTCTGTGTTTAACAGAAGCCAGTTGCAGTCCACCTGCTTTGAATAATCGATGGTATTAGACCTTTCGATTCATACGTCCCAAATCAGTGTCACTGCAGAGAGCAGAGCGATGCTGTAGTTAAAAAGTTAAATTACAGCTGACCTGAAAGGTGACAGCAGGACGCACTATGAGGGGGTGCAGCCTAAGAGGGGCTAAAATTCAGCCAGGAGGACAAGGAGAAAACAGCATCACATGTTTTCCACTTTGTCATGACAGAACTGAATGGGGACTGGCCCCTGTAGAAATGCAACTCCTCATTATATCCTGGCACTCTGGAGTCAGGCAGGGTTTGGTGCTGAGCTATTCCAGGACAAGACAGAGCTGCCACATGTATTTTGTGTCCGGTTGTGTTAACTGCGAGGTGCGAACCCTTTGCTTGTGGCAGATTTTGCCTGAGGCTATTGTGTCAAGCAAAGGAGAGCTGTGTGATCAGCAAATCCTTCCTGCTTCTCCAAGGAAAGCAGCTCAGCCCCTGTTGCTTAGGGACTAAATAGGTTTGGTTGCAACTTTTTCAATTGAAGATATTATCCCGAGAGATCAAAGTTTCCCCTGAAACCTATGCACTGTATTATGGACGTAATTTTTCTTGGAATGGGTGCAATGGGAGTGCAAGTCCCTGCTTCTCCTGGGGTGGATGTGCCTGTATCATCCTCAGCACAGAGAAACACGGGGTGGTTCAGTCCTCCCAGCTACACCTGGGGGAAGGAAGAGGAGGAACATGAAGCCAAAAAGAAGAGAAAGGATGGCATTTCTGCTCTTCTGACTCAAGCTCTGAGCTGCTCTCCCCATCAGCAGACTGGACAAATCCATGGGCTTCCTTCTGGTGGATGCTGGATGCCCACACCTGCACTGCAGGCAGGAGCTCGATGCACGGGTCTGTCCCCAAAACTGCAGCCGGAGGACACGTGGGGCAGGATGGCGGAGCGTGGTGCTGCCGAGAGTGACTTCTGGATGGCAGCTCCCGGTGCTGGGTGGTGGAAATGGGAGAAGTCACTGGAGAAGAAGAGAGAAAAATTCCCCTCATGATCTCAGACTCCAAACTTTTAACAGAGGACATGTGAAATGGCTCTAAATCACTCGTTTCCTACTGCCTGCTCCAGCCCTGTCGTTCCGCATGCCTGTCTGTCCAAAAGGAGATTGTCAAAGAGCTCCTCTGCTTGATAGCTCTTTCTACATTTTATGATTCATTAGTTTTCCTAATATAAATGTTCCCTGCCTGTTCTCAGCAGGGCAGTAAAGCCAGGAAAGAGAGCTGTTTCTGAGCACCCTCCTCGGCATGCCGTCACTGAACGTGCCTGCCTGCAAGTGTGCCAGGGGACGGGGGAGATAAAAGCAAACTAACTTCAGTACCTGGCCAGATGTGACTCGAGTGTGTCGGTCGGGACTCAGGCTGAGCCATTCCCTCTTGCTGTGTTGGAGTTAATGGCCCAGATTTGTTTCATCCTCCGAGGCAGTTGCTGGGTCCTGGATGCTTAAACCATGTGGCTGAATTGCCCCACACTGAAAGCATTGCTGTACATGAATGTGTGTGTTAAATGCCTACAGAAAATGTTTAAACATGTGGGAGTTTAAGTCCACTTGTGGATACTGGCCTTTGATAAGTTGGAAGGACACACTGCAAAGGCGTCCTGGTGGAAATGATCTTTCTTCCCAATTTGTGTCTTACAAAGGGGAAGGGTTCGCTCTCCCCACGTTTCAGTCTCACCTTGATGATATCGATATGTCCCTGTTTTTCACACACCTGCTGACTGCCATGCCGGATGAGGAGATGCAGAAAGGTCGAAATCTATACCAGGAAAGGGGTTATTGAGAAACTAAACCAAAGGCTTTCGCTGCAGCTGACTGCTCTGCATGGGTACACACACCCCGAGGTGATCAGCTCTGCCCTTGCGATGCTACAGGAGATTTTGCCACTCAGTGACCTGTATTTTCCAACCATAGAGGGGAGTTTAAAGATGCTGATATTTCTTGCCATTCTTTTCTTTTTTATAATAAGAAAATAGATCATACTAGTTTCTCACCGAAGGCTCTCTCATGTTATCTCTTGGCTGCTCTGATCTCCAACGCAGGTACTGGAATTCCCTGAGGAATCTGGTGGTCTCCTTGCTGAACTCCATGAAGTCCATCATCAGTTTGCTCTTCCTGCTGTTCCTGTTCATCGTGGTGTTTGCTTTGCTGGGGATGCAGCTTTTTGGAGGACAGTAAGCCTAATTAATCGTTGTCCTTTCGGGGTGAGCTGAAAGCAGTCTCCTGGAACACATAAGGGAGAGAGGGGCTGCAGGGCTTGAAAGATTCACACGGGGGGTGCAGATGTCCATCTTTCTGGGCTGCTGAGGAGTGGTCTCTGGTTTATAGGAAAATAGTTCCTGTTCTGGTGTTTTACCTGGAGCTGAATTCTTTCTAGTTACCCTGATTCGAAGTTCCTGTGTCATTCCATGGTCCCCATGTACACCCAGGCCTCTGGAATAGGACTGGGGGAGGCAGCACTTTTTGTACTGTTGGGGGAAAGACAAATTCTTTCCCTGATAGCCAGGGTGACGGTATATTTATTCACTTGGAATATTTTTCTGCTGGAAAACATAGTTTTGTTGAATCTGACTTTTCTCATTCGAAACTCCAGTTGTGATGAATTTTGCAGCAAGAAGTATCACAATACTACCATTTAAACTCCAGTATGAATTTTGAAATGAAATAACATGTGGGAGTGTTTTTTTTTTCTTAATCACTATTTTATCTTTAAAATAAAATGACCTACTGTGAGGGCAATTTCAATTTTGGCTTTACACTTGAAGACAAAACTTCTTGGAATGGCTTGTTCCACAAAATCACTGGATATTTTGTTTGTTCATTTAAGTGTGGGTGAAGATAAATTTCAAAGCATCAGAATTTTCTCCAGGAATAAAACTGAGTTTCTGCTAATAGTTCTCCTAAGCATCTTCTCAGAGACATTGTGCTCCCTGCTGTGGTTGCCTGGGCTGTTATTGCCAGGTGGAGCAAAAGCTGCTCTCTGACTTGGGTTACAGGGTATTATGAGAATGCACGAGAGTTGCTTGTCTCTTACTGCTCTTGTTTTTATTTCTTACTTCTCTCTAGATTCAATTTCCAAGATGAAACACCAACCACAAATTTCGATACCTTCCCTGCCGCCATCCTCACAGTATTCCAGGTAAAGCCATACCTTGCCCTGGGTGAACATTAGGAAATAAATTCCTGGGCACTTCCTCCTGCTTATGGGGGCACAAAGAGCTCCCCCAAAATCCATGGAATTTAGGAAAGGGGAAGTCCTTCCTTGTCATGTATTTTGCCACACTGATGAATCAATGCATCTTTAAAAATCAATGCTATGGAATTAAGGAAAACTAAAACCAAAGATTTTTTTTTTTTTTTCCTAGGAAAAAAAATATTGATAGAATAGACCTTCCTGTGCTGAGCTTAAAGTCTGCGTGTGCCCAGGCTCTTTCTTCTGAGGGCCCTGCCCTGGGCTGCACGCTGCAATGGCAGCACTTGCATGTGCCTGGCTGCATAAATCGCCCTGTCTCAAATCCTAGACGGCCAGTGAGCGGTTGACCTGTTTCACTTTCTCCTGTGGTTGCCATCATTTAATGAGGAGAGAGGCCCGAGCTAGCTCCAGGCAGTAAGGAAATATTGTAGCATTTTGCAGGGTAATAGCTCAAGATAAGAGAATGCTGGATAAGAATTACAATCGATGGGGGAGCACAGAAAGAGGCATCAGCCTTGGGCAACTTCGTGTGATGGCAAGAAGAAGTCATCGTTCTGGCAGATGCAATGCTCGGATTTAAGAGGCTAATTTTGCAGCTGTTCTCTGCATGTCTTTTTTAAAAACAGTTATTTCAGGTGTTTCAGTAGGAGAGCTGGGGATGCTGCACCCTGCTCCATGCACAGGTAACAGTCACAGGTCCGTGGAAGACTGCCCAGCGTTTATACCGTTGTCCTACGTAAAGTGTCGATATGGGCTCGAGCTCAGACTTGACCCCAGATCCGAACTTTCGTAGATCTCAGCAAAGATTGGCCTATGTATTTCAGCGTCATGTCCCAAAAAGGGGGGAAAAAAAGGGGGGAGGGTGTTCGGTGTAAATCAGAATAAGAGTCTAAAAGAAAATGTGTCCTGTGACCTCTGCATAAGCAGCTTCATATGGGTATCGCTGCTCTCCAGATGTGAAGCAGGTTCAGTAATACTTACCTCGCAGGATATTGCAAATCATGGTAGATTAATATTTGCATAGTATTTTAGTACTCATCAAAGAAAGGCCTTAAAGAAACGTAAAGGTATTGCCACAGAGCCGGAACTGAACCCGAGTCAGGCTCCAGATGTAAGCATCTGGAAAATTTGATGTTATTTTGCTTTTGGGACTATAACTGTCTCTTGAGAATACTTAGCTGAAATATTTCCTTTCTGTTCCCGAGGTAAATACTCCTGTAACGTAGTGGCTGTGGGATGAAGGAAAACACTGTTGGTTTTACGACATTTGTCTAGAACGTCAGAGCTATGAATTGAAATCAGCAAAACCCATCAGCACTGAATTAACTCAGTGCAGCCCTGCAGAGGCATTTTTTGATAAGCTCTGCTCTCAGTCCGTCCCCCCTCCTCCCTCGAATTGCAAACACCATGTCAACATTTCCCCAATATGGGCTTTGAATTCCCTTCTAACCTCGTCTTGCATAAACTCAGGCGAGGCAGCGCTTGTTTGGTTGCTGCTCTAATGAGCAGAGTAGCATCATCCAGTGAATGTGTTCGATGTGTTGAACAAGTCTAGCCAGATGCACCCTGTCCATCCCTAACCCCTTTGGAGATTCTTTGTTTAAGAAGCAGTTTTAAAGTCTTCTGCAGCCTGCCTTAGCCCATTTCATTTCAGCAGACCTGGCTGGGTCACGGTCCTGTGTCACACAACTCCCAGGACGTATTTCGTCTGCCTGGCAGCTGGCTGAACTCAGCGTTGGGTGCAACTGAGCCCCAATCTCCCTAAATTCCCTTGGAAGAGTATCACATGTTTTTCTCCAGCCTCTGGCTTCCAAGAAAGTCTTTATGAGCTGAATGCCAAGCTGTGTATATACAAAATACAAACACAAACTATATGTGTATACAGAGAGATGTATGTTCATATATATCTATATACACATGAAAAATAACTGATTGCATCTCCCTATTCCGGCAATCATTGAGCTGGGAGTGTGTACAACATCCCTAAGCAGAGAGACTCTATAAAGCAGAGACCTGTGTTAACTATACATGCTCTGCTCCCTGAGAGCTGCTACCTAAATAATTACATGCTGCCGGCTGCTAAGGAACAGAGCACCGGTGATGGCTGGAGGAGATGAGAAGTCACGGTGGCAGGATGGGGCCGAACCTCAGCTCTGCTGACGGGTGCCCTGCTGAGGCTGGTGAAGCAGAGCTGGCTTCGGTTTGATGTCCGAGTGCCCTGGCTGCCCTCGCGGACCTGCCTGCGAGGTATGACGCTGAGCTGACGTGATTTTGCATTTACTCAGGTCCTTCTTCAGGGAAGCATCTCCCTTTCAGGGCTGCCCTTTGAAACGGTGTGGTACTGTTCTTCTGCAACTGAGTGTCTCCCACCGTTAATGTCCACTAAGATTTCAGAACAGCTCTGGACAGCTGTTTTCATTCTGTCACCTGATGGCTCCTCAACCAAGCCTGAGTATTAAATGCTGAGAATCACTGGACGAAATGTTTATTTGGGGCAGCCAAAAGCAGTTTTGGGCCCAGGGAAAACCAAAATGTTTGGGCTTCACCTTACTCCCAAGTCCTCATTGCTTGCACACCTCCCTCAGCATCCATAAACAGAGACTTTCTAGAGCAGAAAGACGTTTATTTACTGCATGTGCTCTGCTCCTTGAGGGTTGCTACCTAACCGCTTAAGTAAATCCTCCAGCTGATGGGTGACGGCGCGAACAGTGGGAAGGACACCAGGTCAAAGTGTCTGTCCCCTTGCCAGGGCCTTGGAGAGCATCCTCAGCTCTGCCCAGGCAGGCTGGTTAGTGCAGACTATTTACCTCTCTGTAAAAGTTCCCTGAAACCTTTTTTTAATTTCCTTTAAGTTTTAAATACCTTTAAGTTTTTGTTCCACTTCCAAAATAATCCAGTTGGATTTTCGAACCCAGACCCCAACCTGCTGGACTTGTTTATATGCAGCCTGTAATTTGTGATACCTGCGACTCCTGCTCTTTTGCAGGGCTTAGAAGTGTTCCCACTGGTTTCCCTTTCCATGAATGTTTGTGTGACTAGAAATCACTTTATGGTTATTCCCAGAAAGCAGGAACAGTTGTGAATTCATGGAAATGATGTGAATGCAAGTTTGCAAACAGTGTTTTGCATAATTGAGTGCTGGAGTTGAAAGCCTAATGTCCTGGTTCATATTCTCTGGTGTAAACCCGGAGTAACTCCGATGGTGTGGGTTAGGCTTGGGCTCTGAATTCTGGTCTCTGAATTATTAGAGACCAGATTCTGTGTTTAGGAAACAAGTTTGTGTATGCAGTGTATGTCCTTGTGTCTATGCTTGCTCTTAGCCTGCTGCTGTCATCAGCACCAACCCTGCAGCAAGAAATTTTCTCTCTATCAGCAGCTGACAACTAGTCTGGAATTTGCAATTGTTTCGAGCATACTGTGTGCACATGGGACTTGATTACTACACCACGCATCATGCTTTGGGCTTTTTTTTGGTTTTTTCTTCTACTAAACACAAAGACAATTTCCTATTTAGGAGTTTGAGCTTCACATCCCAGTGGGCATGTTTTAATATACTAGAAGTAACTGTTCAACTCTGCCACGGCAGGCAGATGAAGTGCTGATCTGCCCAACATGTTGCTGGTTTACAGTCATGGGTGATGAACAGGAATGGCAGGCAATTCGGACTGGGGCAAAATTAGCATCTAGCGTGACAGAGCTTATTTGAGTCTTAAGTTTTTTCACTTATTATGATTATTTTTTCTACTATTCATGTTTGCTGATTAGCCTCAGGTCAGCATCCAGAGCCTGCAGCCAGGACAGCTCTGCAGAGCCAGGCTGCGGTTGTGCTCACCTCTGTACGAGGATGCAGGAGGAACAGAGTTCCCTTCAAGATACCCTCGTCTGTCCTCACTCATACGCATCTGATTATTGCCTCTGCTTAGGGTTTTTTTGGTTGGTTTTTTTTTTTTTTTTGGTGGTTTGTGGTCATCTGGGTGGCTGAGGGTCCTTGTGGTCTTGGCAAGCAGGAAACCTGGAGAAGCAGCCGTTGTGGTGCAGCACCCAGGCAAACCTTGCAGTGGTTGTGCTGCTCAGTGCCGGGCATTTGGAGCAATGGTCAGCAGAGCTGTCTGCAGCCCTGAGGGACAGAGGAATAGTGTAAGGGAGCTGCAAGAATTTCTCCTTCTGATATGCAGTTACTCAGCGTGTACGGTGTGTGTGGGTTGGGAGCAAACCCTTTCTGGATGAAATGGATGAAAGGAGTTGATGCTGGCAGAGATCCCACTCAGGACGCTGGGCTTAGAGGTCAGAGTTTTCTTAGGTCTGTGGGAAATGCCGTGCATGGAGCTGTTGAAACCTGGTATCTCTGCATGACTTAAAAATGGTGATGGGGGAAGAAATTTTGCTAGGGGTGAAGTGTTGGAATGTGGCTTTTACTGCCTCTGCCCGCCCGAGAGCCTGCGGTGAGAGGTAGGCAGCAGGCACGTAACCAAGGGGGGACAGGAATGGGGCAGTGGTCCTCCCTCACCAGCCATCCTCACTCCTCCTCAGCTTATGCCAGAGGAGAAAGCTGCATCCAACCCGAGGTGAGACTGTCCAGGGCTGGGGTTTGATGTCCAACACTGCAGTCTGCCACACTCGTGCTCCTCCATGTTCCTCCAGAGATGGGGGGGTTGCATGGAGCTGCCTGGCTCCCCCAGGCCTTACCTACTTTGTCCTTCCTTTGAGTCACCCTTTCTTCTTCTCTCTCAAATTTCACCATGCAGATCCTGACGGGGGAAGACTGGAACGCGGTGATGTACCACGGGATCGAGTCACAGGGCGGTGTCCGCTCGGGGATGTTCTCCTCCATTTACTTCATCGTCCTGACGTTGTTTGGTAACTGTATCCTTCCACATCGCCTTGTGTTAGTGGCACAGTGTGCCATGCACCCTTCCTGGGGATGCTAGAAAAATCTAGTTTTATTTAAATTCTCACACCCTCACTTACTCTTTTTAAAACTAAATCATTGCTATAGCTTTGCTCCTTACAGCACTGGAGTTAAGAGGCGCAGGTAAGTTGTCCGTGTTGATGTCACTTTTCTGATGGCAACGTGAGCATAGTCTTCATTTTCATTTTCATGTTTTACATTAAGGAACGTCCTGTTATGAGTTATGAAAGATATGAAATGGGAAAAATTATTGAAGTCAGAGCAGGACCTCTGTACCTCGAGTATCTTTACAGATAGTTTGCTCTAGGTCAGGGGAAGGAAGAGTTGAAATTGGTTTGGTGCGTAGATCAGGCTCCAGTCTCTTGGTGCCCTTCTCTACACGGCAGCATAACCAGCTGTGCTATTCCAAAAGCTTGAAAGTGTCTTATCTCCACATAATGCTTAAAACTTAGGTCCAGACCGTGGGTTTTGGGTTCTGGGAATATTAGGTCGTGTTCCAACACCTGACACATGAAGTCTCTGAAGATGTTTTCTTCTGCTTAGTCATGAAAATCTCTTGAGGGCAACAGGGAACTGGGAGCTTGTGCCCCCCCCCGTAATGTCCCAGGGTGTCTGCTGGGGAACCAGCATCACTCTGACGTGTGTTATGTCCCAGAGAGGCCTAGGGAGGCAAGAACGTAGCAGTCACACGGAGACAGGATTTGGAAAGAGAGGCTGGTGTTTTATACAGAAATGAGCAAAGAGATTCTCCAGTCTAAGGGCTGGGTGTGATGAGAGCATGGGAGTTGTGACGGCTCTGTCCCTGCTTCATGACGGAGGCTGCTGATGTTGTGTAGCATTGCTCACGTTAACCAGGTATAAAATTGTTGGTGCGAGATATTTGCTGGCTGCAGTGACAAGCTGTGTGGAGTCAAACAGAGCATCTTTAAAAATGGAAACTTGAAAACTATTGCATATATGAAGCAGCCCAACTGGTTTATTTGTTCTGTCAAATAGAGATAATAATGCTGAGCATTGCTGCTCTGCTTGCGAGTGCCCCAGAGGGTTTCCCAGCAGTGCAGACCTTCTTGCTAGATAGAGTCCCAGTGTTCCTCTTTTCCTAGGAGTCCTGTTTGGGCTGGCAGTATAGGAGAAAGGGAAGGGTACATGGGGTGCAATGCTTGTGCTAAAGGCATAGCGTTGTTATAGACATAAACCCCTTCAGCTGGTGGTCAGGATGACAAGAGAGGAGACATCAGCACCCACAGACTGCATGGCAGGGCTCTGGGCCTTTACTTTGCCTGAAATTTCTCCGTTAGCAGAAGGAACCAAGGCAGGGAACAGTGGAGCAGACAGTGTGCGAGCTGTGCTTGTCACACGGCGTGTCTCTGCAGGATTTATCCCGTTAACCTGCTCTGTCAGAGCCAGAGCAGCCATGGTGCCCGGGCTGGCTCAGCAGCTGTGCTCAGACATCTGCCCCTTCCAGAAACACAAGGCTGTGGAAAACTGGGTCAATGGAGAGCTGGGAGGGAGATTTCTAAATCCTCAGGGCTTGGCATTTGAAAATGAGATTAAGCTATAATCAGGCTTGACAGCAGAGCTGAGAGAGAGACTTTTAACCTTAGAGCAGCTAAGATCCAGCATTTCTGAGGAACAGGATATAAATTCCCTTCTTGCACCTTTACTTCAGAGAGGGCTTCTCCCTTGTCCTTTAGTTTTCTAAGAGCAGGGGATGCTCAAGAGGAGGGAATAAGGACCCGGTTCACCTATTGCCGCTGCCATGAGTTTGGTATTTGCTTCTGCTTGCCCTGGCAGAGTGGTGGGTCAAAGCCTTACCCACATTCTCCCCAAATATCATTGTGGCAGACAGCAGCTGTCTTGCTTCCCCTTCTGCTGTCCTGCTGCTGAGGGGATCCAGGAGGTGCCTTTTCTGGCTGCTTCCCTGGGACCATCTCCAGTGCCTCTCTCATCCCCTTTGCCCAGAGTCACGGGCTGGTGGCACAGGTTTAGTGCAGCCAGAGAGCTCAGAGCACCGTCGGTGCGTTTAGCAAGGAGGAGGTGTCAGGTGTGATTCTTTAATTCTCCACGAGTTCTGCCGATGGGGCTGAGTTTGCTGCAGGTGAGTTGCTGTGAGCACAAAGTAAAGCGAGAGGGGAGAGCTGGCTGACAAAGAACAACAATGCTCAGAAACCCTTTTATAGTGTCCTAGAAGAATTCTTCCACAGCTTCTAGAGATCAGAGTTACAAACCTGAAACAAATCTATTAATTCCTATAGAGATTTCTATCACATTGGAGAATTAGAGACCTGGCCCAGATTGTCACTGTAGAAACTTAGTCTGAGAACATCAGCTGCATTCGCAGAGAGCTTGTAAGAGCCTTTCTGCATCGCACGTAGACTTGTTTGCCTTTAAGCACCATGGGCAGGAGGGGAGAACAGAGGCTGGAGTGTGTGGTGAAGGATGAGGGGTTAAATCTTTTCCTTGTCTGTTCACTGTGGGAATTGCAGCAGTAAGCCCACTCATGCTTGTGCTGATATTTCAAACCATATTTCAGTGAAGTCAGTGCTACCCCTGCTTTTCAGTACCTCCAGTTTTTTTGACGCCGAGAGCAAGCAGCAGGCAGTCATTTATCTCGGAGGGAAAGCTGAACTTGTATGACTTACCAGGGACTTAAGTGATCATTAACTGTCAAAACATAACCCGGAACGTCAGAAAATAAACTTTAGTTTGCCAGAAAAGAACAGTCCTGCATTTTTGTGGGAAGTAAAATAGTCATTAATGTCAATGATGCTGCAGTGCCCCAGCAATGTTAAGGGCAGGCGAGGGTGCGGGGTGAGGTACGTGTCTGAGCCGCAGGTTCACCTTCCCAAGGAGAGCCCACAGCCCAGCGAGCACCAAAAGAACACCCAATAAAGAGCAGTGAAGTTGTTGATTAGCTTAATTATAATTAATGTGAACTGTCTTTTCTGCTCTAACTTAGGACTTTGCAAAGATCTCCCCCCTCTGCCTCGCAGAACTCCTTCCATAAAGCTTTAAAAATGTATTTTTTTCTATGCAATGAATTTTTTTTTTTTCATTTGCCACCAGCTCTCCCCACCTGGATGTTCACTGCAGCTGAATTTCTATAGTGGAACTATTTGGTATTATTTTCTTACACATCACTACCATTGAAATCAGTCCAAGCCCTTCTGATCAGCAAATGACACTTCGATTCCTCTGCTGGAAGGGGTTTTATTTTCAGTTTTTGAACATTGACATTTGGTGAGTCTATTTTTAAGAGTTTAGGCAAAACGGATCAAATCTTGTTAGAGAATCGGCGTCGGTGATTTTGGATCAGCTTGCAAAACCTGCACTTTTTAGACATGAGGGACTCCTTTCTTCTCCCAGAACTGCTCGGGGCATTGCCACTGTTCTTTTTCATGAAGCAGAAAGGTGGGTGGGTGCTGGCTTCCCCTGCTTCTCACTGCAGCTCAGTTGTTTCTTTGAATCCATTTACTTTTTCAAGGGACTATTGCAAGGAAAAGATCCAGAAACTTTGTGTAAATCAGAAGTCTCTCAGGTTACGTTCCCAGTTCCACAGAGTCCATGTGAGCCAGATCTCCCCATCTGAAATGGTTTTGTGAAAGTAGTATGATTAGAGTAACAGGAGGATTTGGCCCATTTTCTAGGAAATTACACCATGCCTGTGTTCATTGTTATCCAGTTAATAGATAAATTGATGCATCTGTTGAGGGGAAAAAAAAAGAAACCCATGAAAAACTGGAGAGGAGCTTGAAATGAAAAGCAGCAACTGCCTGGAGTGTCCTGCGCTTGCCCCTTGCCCTTGCCCACCGTGCAGGAGAGCCGTTCTTGGCCGCAGCCGCTGGCTCGGCTGCTGGCAAGGTCCGTGGGTCTGCCCAGGTTACCCAGCCTGGGCCAGAGGCTGGAGTTTGGGTGATATTTGGGAATCCCCAAACTCTGCAGGAAGGACTGAGGGACCTTTTTTGGGGCAGAAACACCCAAGTCTGCCAGCTTGTGTCTGCTTGGAGATGGATCAAAACAGCCTGATCTGTTAAAAAAAAAAAAAATTCATTATATTTCCAGTAGTTGATTATGTTACATGAGACATTTTCAGCATGTGTGTGTAGGAGGCAAGGGTAGGAAGACAGTTTTATTACCGAGACATTTATTCCCAGAGCAGAAAGCTTGGAAGTGTTTCCCATGTGTTGGAAGCACCCCAGAGGAAGGAACCCAAACATTCGGCACCAGCCGGCACCCCGGTGCCGCTGTGGACAGCGGTGCCTCAGCCTCCCTGCCTGCACCCCCAGCAGCAAATGACAGCCCTGTCTTGCCAACCCTTGGTTAAAAGGAAACGAGGGAATTGGGATCTTTGCAAATGAGAAGTTGATTAAGCTCTGATTTCAGCATGGGAGGGAGGCAATAATTTCAGCATTATTTTCCCCCTTTTTTTTTTTTTGTCTGCTGGGCTCACTGGGATTGAGGAACTCCCACCCTGTGCTCCTCACTGTTCGGCTGCTACAGAGGAAGGAACAATTGAGAACAATTGATGGGCATCACATTTCAAACCTCTCTCCGTCCCAGAGGAATCACCTTCACATGACAAAAACCTCCATCCCGTGTTATATGACATGGAGAAAACCTGATGGATGACCTGGCCTTTGCCTGGAGAAACCCCAGGGCTCTGCATCCCATCCCCTGCAGGTTTGGCAATCGGGATGCAGATGCATCCGAAGAGATTAAATACAACTCCTGCTTTCCACCATCACAAGCAGAGGCTCCAGTTTTGATAGGCATTTAGGCTCTGGAGACACTCATCTCAATGGGAATTAGAGATGTGAGCATCTGGTTCTGAAGTCTTGGCTGAATTATGTTTGATAAAAGCTCTAGAGAGGGAAAGCAAAGAGGCTTTGAGCTGGTTGTTTGGGCCAACTTTGGTCTCTGGCTGCCCTGGGAAGTCTCCTGATGCCATGCCAATGTGGGGCAACATCTCCGCAGCCAGCAGCTCCTGCAACCGGTGTGCTGCCCGGAGGGTGCTGGGGCACGAGGATTTCTGGGCACCCTCCTGTTTGGCAGAGATGACCGCAGCCGATGAATGCGCCGCTCCTGGCTCCTCTGTTTATAGAGGAACCTCAGATGCCTCTTTCAGGCATCCTTCTGAGAAATGGAAAGTAATCAGAGGGGCACCGAGGCCAAGATTTCCCCAAAGTCTCATTGCCGGTTTGCCAGCACCCTGGGGGCTCGTCCCCTTGCTGGAGCAATTGCCTGGCTCCTCCCAGCACACCGGCCTCGTACCTCAGTCCTGCCTTTGCTGCGGCGTTGCTTTGGGCATTGCTTCCAACTCAAAGCCCAAAACAAGGGTACACGTTAACCCAACAGAAAATAACTGGATTAGTTGCCTAAAACTGCTGCAGTCATTTCATTCAGCTTACGGGGACCTGCGTCTGGTCCCAGACTGGTACTTGGCTCTGGTGAGGACAGTGCAACACAAACACAGCAGCAGCACATTGCTGTCAAAGCATTTGTGAATCTCCAGAGAGTAAATACTTGTGAGATCGACTTCATTCTCATGTACATTAATATTTAGAGGAGCAATCATAGCTTTATACAGCTATGGAGTGAGTGACTGTCCTGTCACCAGGTAAAGTACAAGTGCAAAATGCATTTTCTTCTTGGAGAGTGGTTTGGACTTGGTTTTGCTTTGCTTGCTTTCTTTTCATATGCAAAGGTATCTGATTTACAATTGTTTTGGGGCTGTTTTGCAGATGCATAGCTAGAACAATAATAAAACGTATGAAAGGACAGCGTAATAGCTGAAATCATTAAGTGGAAAAATGAAAAAAAAATATGAATGAATAATTATAGGGAAATGTTATGTCCTGGTGATATTTTGCAGAGAGACCCAGGCTAGCGTGGGCACTGGCAGTTGTTTAGCTGGGCTACATGCAATTTGACCGGGACTAACGGACCATTTCCCAGCAGAGCTCATTAGCTCGGGCTGGGTGTCCTGCTAACAGGCTCTTCTATTGCTGTGCTCTGCATGATGCTGCAGCATTCAGGATAGAGGATGTCTGTGGTGGTCTAATTGTCATATCGAGTTCAGTGTGATAAGGCATGATAGTTTCCTCCTACCAGTATGTAATGCAGCAGTGACCTAAGCTTAACTTTTTCATGGTACCCAATGCTTTCTTATAGCTTTAGGTATATATTATGCAAATGTTGGCTTTAAAATGACCAGTTTCCAGGAGCTCTACCAGTTGTCCTTTTAAACAAGAGGGAAAAGTGAAGATGAAATCCTCTGTGTGTGTGTGTGTATGGGCAGGAGTGTAGGTGTGGATTTTCTAGAATAGAAAAACAAGGACTGTTGTGTCTCTAGAACCACCATGTGGTGCCATATCAGTTGCACCTATAGCATTTTAAAGCCCGTCTGCTCAGCACGTGTGTGTATCCCCACCAGGGATACGTGCTGGGAAAGAGACAAATGGGTGTCCAGCACCTGTGTGCTGCAGAGCGGGCTCCCAGCAGAAGTGGGTGAGTTAGAAATGAAGGCAAAGCAGCGGTGCAAGGGGTCAATCCATCACATACCGACGACTGTAAGTGGGGAAAGAAGGGCAGTGGCAGCAGAGAGGGAACAGTTTACTGTATCTGCTGCGTGAAGATATTTTTCCTTAGCTGATCCCCAAAGATACGCTCCTGAATGTCTTCTTGGCTATCGCTGTTGACAATCTGGCAAATGCCCAAGAGCTGACCAAGGTATGTGTGAGATTTCTGTTTCTTCAAACTTAGACCACAGCTACTGGACATAAAGCACACGTTACCGACCCTTCCAGCCACCCTGAGATTTCCTCTAGAGCCTGTTCATGCAGTACCTCGGTTTACCAGTTTGCATTGCAGAAAGGAGGTTTATTCTTGTTCAGGTTTGTTTTGTTTCAGGCTTGTTTCAGTGAACTATTTAATGTACTTTAGTTTCATTTTATCACAGAGTGGGCAGTAGGCATTGCTCATCTTGCTGCTGCATGAAAGCATACAGGCATTTGTAGCATTTCATAGCATCATAGAATAGTTGAGATTGGAAAGGACCTTAAAAATTATCAGGTTCTTACCCCCCTGCCATGGGCAGGGACACCTTCCACCAGACCAGGTTGCTCACAGCCCCATCCAACCTGGCCTTGAACACTCCCAGGGATGGGGCAGCCACAGCTTCTCTGGGCAACCTCTGCCACTGCCTCGCCCCCCTCACTGGGAAGAATTTCATCCTGATATCTCATCTAAATCTTCCCTCTTCCAGTTTAAAGCCATTGCCCCTTGTCCTGTCACTCCAAGCCGTTGTAAAATGTTCCTCCCCAGCTTTCTTGTTGGCACCTTTAGGTACTGGAAGGTTACTCAGAGCCTTCTCTTCTCCAGGCTGAACAACGCCAACTCTCTCAGCCTGTCTTCATTTGTTGTTTTCAAGAGCAGAGGCAAACCAATTAATGAGTTTGGGCTGACCTGAAGCTTAGACATGGGGAAATGCAGGTGGTGTATTGCTGCTTTTGCTGTCTCTACACTACTGTGTCTTATCTTGCCGAGTTTTGGGATGAATCAAAGAATTAACATTCTTCAATCAACTCCCTGGAAAACAACTTGCAGAGGCTATTCTGAATACTCAACAAAGATGTTATAATCTTTCTTTCTGCCTCTCACCACATCCAAGAGAAAGCTGAGGCCCTAACCCAAGCACAGGCGGAAAGCCAGGTCCTGGCAAGAGATGGAAACGACACCGATGTGACTTTACTGTATGTACAGATCTATATCGGAGCATTCTCTACGGAGAAAAACTTACAGCCTCAGTATTGCGCAGGAAGGATTGCAAGTGCTGGAGTTTGTATAATTACATACTTTTGATTTCTCATTGTAGCATACCCAGTTGTATTTATGAGGGAGGCAGCATTAGATTTTGTTTGCACATTTCTAGCTTGTTCTCACCGAGTGGATAAAGACCTGCACACCCCTTTGCTGTGCTGCTGCCATCGCTGCAAGTCACAGTGACCTGCTAGCAGCAAAAGAAGCGCTGTATCCACCTTAGCAGTTGTATTTTACAATAGCTTGTATCCTCCTGATAGGGTAAGAGGATCACCAACCTCGTGCTTATGCACCAGCGAGCAAGGATGTTTCGTCTTTTTAGAGTCGTAGAAAAGTGCAGTAGTTTGCGGATACACGATGCATCTCCACAGTTCGAGGAGACAGACATTTCTAAGAGTTTCCTACCCCACTCCAGCTGCTGAAGACCAAAGCAGCCAATTGTTCCCAGTTAAAAATCCATGTTTCTGTTGCAGCTGAGCTTGTCTTTACCAGTCTCCTTTTGTGCTGTGGAGCTGCATGACTGGCTTCAGCTTCCAGCTTCGACTGGAGCCTTGTTTCCCGACAGCTGATACCCAGCGCAGACCGTACAAGAAGGCTGGTGGCTCCCAGGTGTATAATAAATGTTCCTATGTCTCTGAGACCATGTTCTGTGTCCCTCCTCCCTTATAATGCAACTCAGGGGTGTGTATAATGGCTCTCAGTGTGGGGTTTTGGGTTTTTTGGTGTTTTGTTTTGTTTTGTTTTTTTCTGGGAAGCTTTTGCCTTACAGCACCTCAGCTGTTTTGGTTCTTTCTAAAGCTCACAGAAATCTCCAGCCCGAGGCATGCATCTTCCCAGCCTGTTCAGGAGATTTACGGGCATCCCTTGCATGTGCTAAGAGAGAGGATCAGGCCCAGCACAATTCTTGGATAACGAAGCTCATCCTTCTTCTTTCTTAATCCTTTTAGTGCTTTCTTGTGAATATTTCAGCAGCTGACTGGGATGGTTAGAAACTTGACTTTGTTGATGTTTATAAAGTATAATTAAATATTGATGGATTCAACAGCATTGCCAAATCATAAAGCTTCTTGAGAAACTCTTTTTTGCTTGAATTTTATTTATGATCCCCAAAAGTCACTAGGGTTTTCAAAAGAAGAGGAAGAAGATAAAAGTAATTCAATTATATAGCATACCTGGAGAATGAGGGATTTATTGCTAAGTAAATATGATCATGCAAACCCAAAAATGACCTGGAGGTATAATTAAGTTACTCAGGAGTCAGCTGATCTCAGGAGACTTTCTTGACATTTATGCTGTAAAACTAATGGAGATCAGTGCTGCGTATAATGTGGGAAAACCATAAGCAGGTTGCAACTCCCTCTGTTTTGGAAAGACAGAAAGCTTTCCAGCTAACCTTCAGGACTGAAGCATTTCAACCAACATTTCCACTTCTGGATGCTGATTTGGACTTCTTTTAACGTGGCATTTAAACATTTCTTGGTAGCCTTATCTGGGCCTTGTGACTTGTAACAGAAATTATCAGAATTGAAACTATATTTAACTTAAGCTTGATCATCCGATGTCTGTTACAAAACTCACCAGTACTTTGGAATGACTCATTTTGGGGTGGAAAAAAAAGAATCACCACCTTTTCTTTGAATATATAAAAGAATCTGTTCTCCAGCCTCTGCCTCTCCCTCCCCACCAGGTCTCTCTCCTCCTCTCCCTTATCGTTGACTTAAACTCTGCCAACTTAATTTCTAGTGATTTCTTAGAACTGTCCTGAATCTCTTTGCTTGCCTACCCTCTAGGTTTTTTCCACATATTGGCAAGTTTTTCTTCCTGTTCATTGATTCAGAGTGGAATCTAAAATTGCCCGCCAAATTTGCTTTTAAAAATCTTTTCTCCCCTGATCATCCCACAATGGCTCCGGTGACACACAGCAGTTTGTTCTTCATCCTCGTTATATGGGCATGTAAAGCCACCACAAGTGACCCTTTATTTTCCTAAATATCCTAAAGCACAGAGTATATTCTCTGATCTCTGTGCACTACCAGCAATCCCTGAGAAAGCAGTATGAAAACATGCAATGTGGGGTAGGAGGGATGTGTAAATTTTACATAAAAATACATTAAAAAGTGGAGAAATCCCCAGAAATAATGGACTGAAGTAAGTGGCAAAACCAGGTGTGTAACAGTCACGAAGACCCCTTCTCCCCCTTCCCAATGGAGAGGGCTTTAATTGGGTAAACTTAATTAAGAACAGTCAGCGTTAACTATGCATATCATTAAGGGTAGCACCAAAGAAGTGTTCTACCATGTGATAAACCGTGTGGTTTAAATGAAGATTCGGAGGTCTGGAAAGCAGAAAGGAAAGGTAAAAGAGAGACATCTTTATAGGCAGGGCCTTTATATGCACTTGCCCCTATATAATGACGGTGACAGTCTGGGCTGTTGGTGGGATGGATGGATGTTGCCATCACGGCTCAGAGCTGCCGTCAGTCATGCACCGTCAAACCCCTGCGTACTCCAAGCAGAACAAGATGAGTCTGTGCCCCAGTGAGACCTGGCAGTGTAAGTATCAAGCAAAAAAATTAATTACTTTTTGTAGTAATCTGCAATCTCTGGGTGGAAAGAGCTGCAGAAATATTATTAAGCAGTCATCTGTTAACTAGCATGCTTGTTCTGAGTTAGGGACGGCTGAGTTTATAATGACAAGGGATATTTTCTGCTGTTACTTTGAGATATTAAATTCAGCACAATTACTGATGCACCGAGGAGAATGTAGTTGAAACTAGAAATTTTAAAAATTTGGAAAAACTGTGTCTGGTGCTTTAGATGCACAGAAAGAAAAATAAAGAGCCTTTGAATGTATGTGATTGTAATGCTGCTAGAGAGTCCTCAAGAGAAGAAACAACTTGAAGATACCTGCAGAATGAAAGGGAAACCTTAAAAGCCTTCTTATTTGGGGGTCTTATTCCTCAAAAGATTCATCTTTTGCTGATACCCTTGATTTACAACAAGCTTCCAAACCATTGATAAATTTACTGGAGGTTGGCAGTTGAGAAATACTGACTTTGTATAATTGTTCTGCATTTTTCATGGCCTGTGTCAGGTTCTTCATTCGCTACCATAAGAATTTGGTTGTTATAGACTTGCTAATATTTGGAAAGGCAAAAAAATATTTGAAACTTTAATGGTAGCAGAATTTTTGGATTCATTTTCCATCATTTCTTTTCCTTCTAAAGGAGAAAAGGAAAACATTTTCAAAATTAGTTCAGCCTAAGTAAATAACACCAAAGTCAGAGTAAGGAATTGTTTATGTATATGTTATTCAGGATTGATAGATCTAGCGGACTTTCTATGTCAAAGCTAGATGTCTTACTGTCCACTCTCATTATTTTAAGCAAAACTTTTCCACAGCATTACCTTTGAAGAGCGACGGTAGACCCGTGGCATTTCATAGAGCTTGACGGAAGAGCCTATGACTGCTCTCATCTTTACGTGTGGTTATTCCCTGAATATGTGCGATGGTGACATTGCCATCAGGGGGTCTGTGTTTATCCTGCCATGATTTTACTATCTAAATTGACTGGCTAGAAAGTTCCAAGGAAGTTTAACCTAGATGATCATTGAAAAGGAACCAGGCTATTTCTTTGCCTTTTGCCCTCATCTCATTGCTTAAGATCCTGTAGTTTGAATTTGAGCGGTATCTTTCTTGTCATTACACCAGGTAAGAGGAAATAAATCACAGTTATACTCTGCGAGAGCTTGCAATGCCAATAGAGGTTAAAAATCCACATGATCTGGGGGGTATGCAGAAAGCGTGAACGTAACCGTCTTTCTCATCTGTACTTGAGTCTACAGACTATGCTTTAATACAGCTCCTCCTTTCTGTTTGCACTCTTTATGTCCACAGTGATACCACTGAAGTTAATGGAAATATCTGGGGTAAAACTGGTGTGAGCAGGACTAGCCAAATCCAGTGTGGTTTATTAGATCTACTGTTTCAGAGAAGTCACATTGGCAAGGTGTCATGAAGGATTTAGGAGTCTGTCTCATACATTTCAGTGGGATGTAGGCTTTAGAGTGTTTTTACACATACAGGTCGGAGATAAATGGGGCTCACTTCACCCCAGAAACGTCACACTTGTGGTCAGGTCTCTCCCTGTCCTGCCATAGTCTCCTACCCAAATGCTAAGAGAAGACCCAGGAGAGGTAAGAAAGCTTTGCGAGGGAGAAGTAATCTTGGTAAAAATGTACTGAGCACTTGACCAAACCTTGCATTTCTCATCTTTAGCTGCTGTTGTTGGCACCAAGACCCAGAGGTCCTTGCAAGAAGTTGTGAAATTCTGCCTTGTTTTAATGAGTTTCCACTGTTGTCACAGCATGGTGGTGAGAGTCACATATGACTCGTGCCTTGGAGAGCTTTGGTTATCGTCATTGTATGACACATGCTCTGATTTCTCTTGATTTTCTGCTCCAGGATGAGGAGGAAATGGAGGAAGCCACCAATCAAAAGCTTGCCCTGCAAAAGGCCAAGGAAGTGGCAGAAGTCAGCCCCATGTCCGCAGCTAACATTTCCATAGCCGCGTAAGCATTATTTTATTATTTGGGAACTTTGTAATTTGGTTTCTGTTTTTCAGTGTCGATACATGTCTGTTCAAGTGGAGCATCCCATAGTGAGCCCTTTTGTACCATCTCTGTTACTAACAGGGCTTTAGGTTGACTGAAAACTTCAGCGCTGATCTCTTAACCATGAATTTAATTCAGCACTTCTGTTAGTTTGTTTTTCTTTGTAATGCCTCATCTTTTGCCTTACTATAAATAATTGTATTGTAGAAGGATTTTTTTAAGCTGTCCTAGGATAGATTTCACCAGGTGAAGTGTTAACATTTCACTTTGGATTTTTAATTGCTAAAGGTATGTGTGCATATAATGTCTTCACTATTCTTTAATGATCTCTGCTTTGAGAATTTAAGCATAAAGACATCCTCCTAAATATCAGACAGAAAAATATCCTTGAATACTCTTTCTTTGCTGTTTGAAAGAGTGCAGGGTTGAATAACATAATGTATGAGAACTGTCACTGGTTTGTAGCTAGAAACATCAATTCGCATTTTCAAATGCAGGCTTTTCTGCATGGATGTGGACATATGCACGGATTCTGAGGTACCAGGATCCTTACAAAACGTTGCTGTAGGGCCCACCTTTTCGTATATACTGATCTAAACTGAAGTGAAAAAATGATATGTAGGGGGAAACACATATGTCCAGATGTTGCTGAAGTCAGTGCAGAGTTCTGCCTACGTGGGATTATGGGCCTGTGTTTGAGATGAACCTACCTTGCACAAATTAACTGAAAAGTATGTTGCTCTTAAAGGTTCATTTAACTCTTCTGGAATTTTAACACAAGGATAGCCAGCATCAAAAAATTTGGTCATGCATTTAACTGAGAGCTGCTCATGTTTTCCAGACCCCTTTTGCAGGGAAGACCTCCAAAGGCTGGAGAAGATCAAGCATAGAAAAAGAAATTTCCTGTTCAATTTTATTGCAAAGTTTCTGAAATGCAGCAGGATCCCTGTTTGTTGCTTCAGTGTAAATCTCTTGGGACTCTTGTTACTGGGAGTTTAATGCACTTCATCAAAGACAATAGGCCAAACAGAGCCAGTTCGTTATATGTGAAGGAAAAGAATATTATTAATTTGACTATTTTTTTCTTCATACCATTTTATTTTGCCGTTGCTACTTTAATCAGCTCCTATTTATCCTGTGTCTGTTTGTTGGTTTTAAATAGAATCCTTTATCTTACAATGATTTCCTGTCCAGTCTTGAGAAGATGTCAAATGAGGATATTTACTCTTGTTCTTTGATGAATTTCATGGTACTGTTATTTTAAAATGCAAGATAATGATGCTTATTTTCTTCTTTTTTTAATCAAATGCATAGTACATGTGAAGATTTCTTAGAAATCAGAAAAGAAACACTTTAATGGGGCTAAGATTTCACACCACATTGTTAGTTGCTTAAAATAACCTTATTCCATGATTTTTCACCAGGCTTTCACCTGGTTTTCGGTATAACAGGGCCAGTTTTGTGACTACAATTGAAAGTGAGTACAAAATTGTAGATTTCTGCTTATTTTGCCTCAAATTGTATCTGCCCAGATTCCTACCTGCCACATTTGTACAGGCAGGTAATTAGGCTTACAAATGAGCACATTTGAAAGTGCAGTCGATTGCTTCCACATCTACTAACCACAGCAACATTGTGCATGCTGTGTGGGAGCCATCTTCTAACAACCGTTGCGTGACTTCTCGTTATCTCTGCTTTAGTGCCAGCGAGGTGCTTACAAGGCCACACACAAAGCTTGCAGGGCTTTAGTTTGGAGGAAAAAAAAATGCGTTAAGGTCAATAGGCTGATGATCAAATGGATAATGACATAGAGGAGAAGGCAAGGGTGAAGTTAGGTGTTTTGTGAGATAGAAATAGGTGTATGGATGGATTGTTGGGTCGTGATCCAAAAGATATTTAATGAATGCATGCCAAAGCAATTTGTTTAATACATAGATACATCCCTAGCGAACTCCAAAGAGGCTTGGCAACTACAACTTTCAGGTTTGCAGCACCTGTCCCTTAGATATCTCTATCTGGTACAGTAGGGCTGACGGTAAGGACCCATGGTTGATAGCCAAATGTACCACATTACGTCATTTCTTACGCTCTTAAGCTACACAGTGATCCTGAAGACAGAGCAGATGCCATGTTGATGGCAAGACCGGTCAGATCAAGCCTCTGATGTGATTCAGAGCTGGACATGCCAAGAATGAAAAAGTGCTGGGCATGCTTGGAAATGGGATTTTTGGCATACGGAAATATCACTGCAAAAAGCCAAACGTCTGTAGGGCTTGGATACCCCCAAGCGGGTGGTGAGCAAAGGCTGGGAAAAGCTGGGACTGAGCTGCCAAAGACCTGCTGCAAAGGTGGGTCTACCCTACTGGTTTGTATTTTTATTTTCTCCTAAGGAATAATTTTTTAGTTTTATAATTTGATTTTATTTTCATAACGTATGAAAATGAATCTCTAATGCAACAGGCACCTATAGCATGGATCGATGTTCTGAAAACATCAACATTTTCCTCTACCTGCATCAATCAAATCAGGTCTCTCAGGAGTTAGCAGAGGGCACCATGACTTGTATGATGCTCACTTTCCCGGTGTGCTTGTCCACCTCCCGCAGAGGTGATAAAGCCATTCTGGGGCTGAGTCTGGTGAAAAATCATATCGGTTATTCTGCTGTTTCACCGGTGTGATGCTGTGCTTGCTGTTTTGCTTCTTTCCCTTGTCAGCCCTATATCAAGGGCTGAGAGCGTGTATCTTCCCCTAAGCCTCCTTCCAGGTCATTCCATACTCTGTAGCATTGTATCTGCTCCTCCACCTCTGGCATTTTTCCTGTGCAAATGCAGTGTGCACTCGTGGTTTGTATGCTCTTGTGCCTGCAGTTTATCTGCCCTAGTTCTTCTGCTCTCCTCTGCCATTCAAGCCTCTCTTTGTAACTGAGCTCCAGGAAATGTTCAATTTATTGCATCAGTTGCAAAATGTCATTTCCTAGGCATAAGAAACTGGTTGCTTATTTAGTTTGTCAGCCTCCTTGGAGGGTCCGAAGAGGTACCTTCACCTTTACATGTGCAATAGGCTGCTGTGTGAGCTGCAAATTGTTTTGTGGTTGATAGATGGTGAAGCACTACGGTGTCGTGGGGATCTGTTTTAATAATATACTCATTATTACAGCGGCATTGAGATATCATCTATCTTGCAACTGACTCAAAGTGCTTTATTACAATATTCTACCTGCACTTGGTTTGTAGCTCCTACTTCATCAATCTCCCAGGATTTCTATGGTTTGTCTTCTGCTCCACCAAAGGGACTTAACATGAACAGATTTGTCTGACCACAGTTTGTATTTTCACCTGGTGAACTCTATCCTGAATGGGCCTTTTTGTTTTGTGGTTTTTCAGGATTAAAATCTAGGATGGTATGTTGTTTTTGTCATTGTTGCAATGTTTGGTTTAAAACAGAATATGTGTTTAACATGTGTTACTGCGTTTTAATTTGAGTCCATTGTTTCATTCTTATTTTTGTGATTTTTTTTGTTTGTTTGTTTGTTTTCTGTTTAGCATTTTCCTTGCTTTGTTATTTCTGGAGGTGAGTTTCTGGGTTTGTTCAGTTTGCCCAGTGTTGTCTTTAAGATCCTCTGTTTCGTACAACATTTAAACCACTCAGCCTCTTGAACTGAGCGCCTGTACGGACCGACAGGTCTTTAAAGCAAACCATTGGTGCAGCTTCCTTGGCGGCCAGAATGGAGGAAGGGACAAAAGGGGGCAATTACACAGGCAGTGGATGTGCAAAGCACTTTGCAGTGCCCTTGCAAAGGTACCAGTGGAAGGGAGAACCATCAGGCTCATTCCTGTGGGTCCCACAAAGACCCCGATGCAAACACGATATTATTTTCTGTATTTGCCCAACTCGAAGCCTGAACTCCCTGTGTTTGGGTTCCTCCTCCGCCTTTTCTATTCCAGCCAGAGATGCACCAATGGCATGTACAAAAGGGGCTGCAATAAGCACACCCAGCCCAGCACGGGCCAGCAGACCAGCCGGAGAGGACATGAGCTGTAGCTCGCCAGGCACCCAGAGCCCATGTATTCTCCTTGGCCTCTCTTCAGCTTTTCTTAGGAAAAGTCTTAAAATAGCAATCACAACAGCAAACAATTACTAAATTTGTAGGAGCCTGCTAGGTGGTTATGCTGAAGCCATGCTGAGTGAAATTTTTTTTATTTTGTTACATACAGGTTGTTTTTTAATTCCATGTGGTAATGCGTTACAGCTGTAGCCAGACCCAAGGAAATTGTTTAAGCATAGGTATAAAGTGTGAGTTCTGGATGGGAGGACAAACTCCCAGATGCGGTGGATGGAACTTTGTTGACAGTGGCAGGGACAGTTCATGCAATGTGGGTACCAGACCTAAACACAGTCTATAGAATTGCCCACTACCTTTTTTCAAAGTTACACGTGCTTCCCAGGACAACTTTCTAACCTCTAAAGACCTCTTCCTCTCTCCAGTCTCTAACTGGTTTCTGCTGGTCCCTCACATGGTTGTTCAAAGCAGTTTACATTTTAATTGCATGCCTGCAGGTGGATACTGCCTGTTAACATGTGCGAGTTGACTACTCATGAGAGAAGTGCCAAGAACAAATACAGGTGGCACATCATTTCACAGTGACTTCTTGGAGTTGTCTGTCCCTTTTGTACAGGTTTGGGGATGAAAGGTGGGGAGTTGCTCTGTTTCTCCAGGACATTTTCCATCTTTGAGGTTCTGTATTTCCCTTTTGTTTTGGAAATACTGTGGTCTGTTTCCAAATTCCTGTTGGGCTGTTGGTACCCAACAGGACCCAGCAAGAAGTGTGCCTGAACACCCAGCCCATAAAACGTCCTGTGCTGGGTGATGTGCAGACTAGAAGAGGTGTTCTTTTTCTCTTGCTGGCTTGTGATTTCTTCCCTTTCTTTTTTCCCTGACGTGTGTTGATGTGTGAGGT